TTAGTGTAAATAAACCTTTTCGACGCCATCAGAAACTAGTTCACCCGCTAAAAGTGTTTTATATAAGTTCGTCCCATTCAATCTTTCTACTATCTTCAAAAGCATAGGTATCCTTTCCCCTTCTCCCAAAACCTCTTCCCCCCTGATCTATTTGAACACCCCCCTGGTCTCGCGTAGGATCGACATCCCCCATTTATCATCTAATCAGCTCATTTCTCTCCAATCATCCGAGAATCACCCGTTCCTTCGAAAAAAACGGATCGCCGTTCCCCGCGGGGGCTCAGACTCGATCATCCTCTATCGGAGTAGTGGGTCTCGATAGATTCAGTCAGTCCCCTCCCTTCCTATCGACACACCGGTGATGGTGGGGGGATAGTTGCTGTCACTCGCAATGTGTGTTTCTACGCGTCAAAGTGGCGAAATGCGGGAAATGAATGGATGTGCATGGTGTCGGGATTCGTTGGGGGGTCTTTTGAGAGAGTCGAGAAAAATTGACCGTCCCCCTCGAGCTTCGAAAAAACGAGAAACCGGCTAATTTGACGCCAAGGCCAGGGTGTAGAGGGGAGGAAAAGGAGGGGGAGCTGCTGCGTTTATCGGTGCACCATCAGGGTTGGTTGGGGTGTTGTGATGAAGTGAGAGGTTTTTGGCAGACCTTTAAACGCCTTTTGTCACTCAATTACGTTTGGGTTTCGGACTTCCGGTCAAGTTGGGGGGGTGCTATCACGCACTAGGAGGTGGTGTTGGGTAGATGGGAATCTATTCTGGAGAGTGGGCGATGTGACCCCTACCGGTTATGCAAGTGAATAAATATTGTCGGGGTAATTTGAGGTGGTTTACGGTGCGTTATCAAAATCAACAAAGTCTGGGTGGAATCTAGCCATTTGGGTATATGTCGGCTACGCGGGGGGGAATTTAAGCGGGGGGACGGGACAGGCAGGCCTTTTTGGCTGTTTTCGTTATTTTCTCGGAATTTTCGCAACGGCATTCGATAAAGCATCAAAAAATATACTAAGAGTTTTCGTTTCAACTAAAATTAGTGTAATATAAAAAAGTTATGGTAAATACAAAAATAAGCTTTGAAAATCGGTTTGAGCGGCTGTTTTTCGATATTCTCTATATTTTTTTCGACATTTTACAGGTGCCATTCGATAGAGCATCCAAAAATATACTAAGAGTTTTAATTTTAGCTCAAAATAATGTAATATAAAATAGTTATAACAAAAACATGTATTAAACGTTGTTTTCATGGAGGATATAAAAGGAAATCAAATTTTCGACATTTTCGACATTTTTACAAAATTTCTTTAGTGCCATTCGACAGAGCGTCAAAAAATATACTAAGAGTTTTTTTTTAGCAAAAAGAAACGCAAAAAAATAGTTAGCTCGGCCCCAACAGTCGGTCCCCCCCACGCGTAGCCGACCTATACCGCCATTTGATTAGTTTCCTATTTTATGTTTTTTAAAGACCACTTGACTTTTGTTATTTAGTCATCACATGTTCACCATCTTGGTTTGTATATTTCTTACTATCTCCTAAATTAAGATACAACAAAAGTTACACATTATCCCAACAACCAATAAATTACCAACCCCCCTATATTCCATTCTTTCCGGTACAACAATCCCTCTTCCACCTCTCCTTTCCTGGTAGCTTGGCCACAACTTCGGCACCCCGCCCGCTTATCACACCTTTGCTGGGGCCTTGCTGCCTCCAACTCCAGGGGCCATTAAAAGCCCATTTCCCCCGATATTTTATGTAATCAATGTTTGCCCCGGGGTCGTAAAAAGCTACCGGGCGACGACGGCACGTTGAGCCGGGTGGGATAGGTGAGAAAGTGGTAATATCATAGATTCTAAGGGGCGGCGAGGGGGCAAAGTAAACTGAAAAGATTTTGCGGTTAGGGTTAGATAGGAAAGGAATAAAAATTTGATTAAGATACACCTCGGCACTCTAATTTCTAGTCCCTAGAATTATTTTCCCGCCAATCCCTCGACAAAGTGCTATGTGCGCCGCTCGGGCGCAAATTTGGAGGCCCGAAATTTCACGGGCGAAACTGTAAATGATTGGCGCCGAGGCGAGCCTCGAGAATGCTCACCCACGCGTGTAATCGGGCGCTCAGCGGTTCGTCTCGCTGTGGACGATGGAAATGTCGGATCGTTCCGGAGATTGGGACCGGACACGTGCACCGTATACCAAAGTTGGATATATCTTGGTTTTTTGGCCATGATGGGTTGGCGGTATCGATAAATTGAAGCATCAAAAAGCCTAATATTTTTGGTAGTAAATAATTTCGGAAAAGCCATTTGATAGAGCGCCAACAAATGACCAACTTTAGCACTTGGTCCAAATTTTTGGAACACCAGCCCAATCTCCCCCTCAAACAGCCTTGACAACCCCCAAAAGGATAGCCGTTAATGCACCGAGGCCACCCTCCAGTGTCATCCGATGAGCAAGACACCCCCCCCGAAAAACCCTTGAAAGTACCGGCTGCTGTGGTTCCACCCGGATCGGTGCTCCTCGAGTCATAAAATGGCCCACCCAGCCACTATGGGGGCCTAGGGGCCAAATGGCTTGTAATGAGTGGTGGGCCCTCCGGGAGGCTCGTGTCGACACATGGCGCCCCGAATTCTCGAATTTCGCGATGAGCCGTGGATAAACTCGGGGGGTAGTTTGGGGCAAATGGGGCGTTCAAAGGCGCAAAGCTGGTTTTGGGTATTGTGAGGAAGGGGTTACATAACAACCGTAATGCCCTGAGAATCTTGAAAAACACCACTTGTTATTGATCGGTTTTTAGGAGAGCTGCTTAATCTAAGGGTTTGAGAAGACTGTATTCCTTTAACCCGAAGTTAAACCGGTCAAAAATGAGAGGAATGAGAATAACGGGCCGTTTTACTTCACATTTTCGTTTTTGAATCGCCTGAAAAAAATCTACGATTTTTCCAGTATAAGCTCCTCCTTTCTCTCCTCTCCTTTGAGAAAACCAAGGTTTTGGGTTATATCAGTAAATACGTTACTTAATGGAGATCTCTTCGCCCTACCCCCTCACAAATCCACTTTTAATTCAAACCCCTACCATTTGGTATAGCCGCCGTATCCAAGGGCAGCCAAGAAGCAAAAAGAAAGAAAGGGGGTGCCTTCAGAAGAATCAACTTTACGGGTGCGGTGTGAATTCGGACGCGTGGCAACGAGATTTGCGGCTGGCGACGCCCCAGCCGCATAGCCCCCGTCGACCAGGATTCACACCTCTACCGTAGGACGCTGTTTTCTTTTAGGGGGAAAGGGAGGAGAAGAAGAAAAAGAAGAGAAGAGACAGGGGGATCAGAATGTTTAGACGATGTCTTTGGGTGTAAGGGAGCTGGTGGCGAGGTGGCTGGATGGCTGTTTGTTTTGGATTTTTTGAACTTTAGGCGACCAGGGGTTATTTGGTTGTAGGAATTTTGGAGTCGCTACGATAGTAGGGATCTTAAAGCTCAGAAATATTTATATAATACTTCTAACGGAAAAATACACTGCGTTAAATGTTAACATTTTTTGTGATCAGCCGTTGGTACGATTCAGCGTTTCGCAAATTGGGCCTGGTCACATTGTTGTGGCCGGTAAATTACACTCCTTTGCAATATCTTTAAAATACAAAAGCTATATATTAAATCATATTTTAGTGGTCACTATAATATTAATATACGATACTCAAAGCAAATCTAAAAATACCATAATATCAAAATACAATGCGCCAAAAGATTCAAGTTTAGTGGCAACCTCAGTTCTATTTTGAATTTTGCATAACTTAGGAGAATTTAAATTCGTATGCAACTGCTAGATTACATACCTTTAAATGCCTTTCAAAATAAAAGCTATATACTATATTATTTCCATGTATTACACCCAAAATCACCCTTCGATAAGCGAACTTGTTTACCATTCAACCCCCCAATATGAAACCGATTCCGCCCGGGTGGCAGGAAGGGTGTGAGATGTCACTTCACGCGTTTTTCACCACCCGTTTACAGTAAAGATAGCGGCCGGGGGGAAAGGGAAGGGAAACGAACCCGGGGGCCCGCCAGTAGCCTCGGCAAGGCGTCAAGCTCTGATAACGGGCGATTCGGCGCCTTTGGCTTCTTAACCGATAAGTTGAAGGGGGGAAGCTGTTTGGAAGGTGCCGGAATAAAAAGGCGAACTGGTCAGCTGGGGGAAGGTGGCCCTTGGCCGTTTTTTAATCAGCTCGTTCGAAACAAGAGCGATTCGACTATAACGTACTTAGTTTAAAAGTGGAAAATTCCAAAAAATAATGCGAAAATTTGGTTGAAAAAATTTCATACAGCCAGAGGGCGCGGAATAAGCATCTTTATTTAAATTCACATTTTTAAAAAACTAAAACAGATTTGGTTTCTAGATTTTTAAGTCCATCGGAAACTTTGTCATGCAAAATTGGCATATGCTAACTATAGAATGTTAGATTACACATAAAAAATGGCGGAAAATTTTTAACCAATTTTTCAAAGTAGTTTTAACAGCCACAAGAAATTTTTAAAACCTTCCACGTACCTAGCGACTTGTAGAAATAGTAATATAGAGAATACAAAGAATATAGCAAATCTAAATCCTCCGTGAATAAAATATACCGTTATTGACTCAATGGCCGATCAGCCAACAAGGGGATCGATGGTGGTGCAGCCGGTGAGGGGCGTAAAAGAGGGGCGGGCAGAGAAGCCACACCCCCCTCTATCCAACAGCCGACTACCGTAATGCCGAGCCCCCTCTCTCTTTCTCGACTCGGAAAAGTGGGCGGGGCTCGTCATCGAATGGCCCGTTGGTGAGACCCCACCCCCTCCCCGGCTACAAGTGCGAGGTGTCAATTTCGCCAGTTGCACTCCGCTCACACCCCTTCATACGTCTTCTTCGTGGGTGCGGTACGTACAGGCCGGGCAGCTGCAACGCTTTTTACACGGCTACACCGTTTTAATTTACTGTTCACACGCTGACGTCGACCACCGGCTTATCGATGGCATTTAATCCATTTCTGGCGAGGTAAGGGGATTTTCCGGGTTGTTGGGGGAGTTCGACGATCTCTAGAAGTTCTTATCTTCATTTTTGTTCTTTATCTCAGTCATTGAGCCGCTGGATTCAAGACAGAATTTGTTATTATACATTCAAACAGTACCGCCCCTCTTTTTTATGGATTTACATTTTTAGTAGAAGCTGCAATTATCCTCCCTCGTCTACATCTAATCCACCCCCCTGAAACATTTCCGATTTGCACACATCTTCCTCAATCCTATTGAATTTCTGCTCTCCCTCCAGCTCCAATCTTGTTAACGTCTGCGCCTTCAGTTTCCGTTTCTTCGCACTCTTTAAGCTTCAGCAAATCACGCTCGCATCTCGTCCTCCATTTTCTAGTGCTTCCACTGCCCTTAAATTATTACAAACCATCCCGCTACCACTTATCGCCCTAGTTCCTACTTATCAGGCTACCCGAACACTTTTCCTTTCTCAGACTAGCTGCTTTGGCAGTAATCTTCAATCCACTATCAGTGAGCTTCACCGAAATTCCCCACCTCCAAAACAAATTCCATATGTTTTTTGCTAACTCTGTTATTATTGAGGGCAGCGTTGTTTTGCTAGGGTCTCATGTTTGATTTATTACGGCCATTCCACAGGTTTTTCACCGGGTGCCGCTTGATTGTGGGCGAATAATTTTCCAAAAATTCGCACATTATGCCGGGGTTGAAGTGTAACCACGGGTTTTGAATTAAATTCGTGATTATTTCAAGCGTGATTTTTTTTTAATTTGAATGGCAGTGTCTTATCCTTATCCCACAAGGGAATTAGAGAGCCCGGAAATGATCGAGTACTGATTAGCATTAATGCCAGCTAATGCGTGCGATTGATAGCCTGGGGATGCGGAAGAGTTGTAATCCTGGGAAGGGTTATAACGTTTGAGGCAAAATCGACACCTGGCCAGTTTCAGGCCAGACCTCGCCTTGCTTGGTCCGCTGATGGGCCAATTCCCTGCACTACCCGGGCCCACCGGATTCTTCCCCCGTATCCCAACGGAAATTGCGGAATTGTCACACCCGCCGATGGTAAGTTCAAGATTGTGGGAAATATGGAAATATGACGGTTGTTAATTATCTATGCAAATTCGTGAGATAGCTGATGTAAATGACCATCTTTTCCTATCCCCGGATTTTTGCTAACGCTTCCTAAAAAAACATTTTGTAAGGGTTTAGGACTATCCTAAATCAGCCATTTAGGGCCAAACGGCAGCATTCGCTTTAACTTTTGAAATTGGACTCCTCAGAAAATTCGAAAGTTAGATTCGGATTCAGAAAAAATTTCTGCACAAGTCAGGCTGGTCCTACAGTAGGATGAAATTTTTAACATAACCAGCAAACCTAAAACCAACGTCATAAATAAGATCACCCTGAACTTTCTAACGTTCCTAGATTTCCAGCATTTCCAGATGCCCCCTGCCCGACCATCAGAAGACGACGGTGTAGAAGACCATCCCCAAGTCGAGCTCGATGATCAGGATCTATGGAGACGATTTTCTGACTGTGGCACCGAGATGGTTATCACCAAGAGTGGCAGGTACCGTGTCCATCCCGCCCTCCCTTTTACACCAAATGGCTTTATTGCTGTATTTCGTCGCGCTGGAGGCTTGATCGGGGGTTCTCGCCGCTGCAAATGCGATTTTGAAAGAATTTTATGGCGGTTTGAAACCCGTGAGCTCAAAGATTTTATGTCTAGCCAAATCTGAATACTGCAGTATCATTTAGTTTAAAGTCCTTTTCCGACGGTCTTTCAAACTTAAAACCTTCACGTAGTCCCCTACTCTGACTGTCTTTTCTAAAAGGTGCGATCATTGGCATGGCTGAGCCAAGGGTTTTGGTCGCGCGAGGCGCCTCCTCAGCACCTTATCCCACACTGCGCACCACCCCTCTCCTAAATCGCAAAATTGCTCGCGCTGCCGCGCTGACTGCGGCTCACTTTTCGGATTATAGTGCCATCGTTCTCCCCGGCTTGCGTCGTCATCCCCTTCAGAAAGTACTAGAACAGAGTAGCAAGTGTGGGAGGATGCTTTGAAAAGTGTGAGGAGAGCGTGTATTTTAGGAGAATCTTCCCGGCGTTCAAGGTGAAGCTGTCTGGGTTGGACAAGAAGAGCAAGTACACATTGTTGATGGATATCGTGCCGGCTGACGAGTGTCGATATAAATTTAACAACAGTCGATGGATGGTTGCGGGAAAGGTGGGGTTACTTTTATTTATCCCAACTCTCAATTTAAAATTGATTCTCAATTTGAATACCCTTGATTTTCCGACAATTCAAACAAACCTCCAACCTCATACTCCTCCTTCATGCTCCTCACCTCAAGGTGCTACCCAAAATGAGGTGTCAATATTTCACCGTCCCTATTTCCCATCCTCCACCTCCTTCTCCATCCCTCCAAATCGTTGTCCACCAATCAATCTAAAGGTGGCCAGTGTCGAGGGGCTAGTGGTGGGGCATTGTCATGTTGTTTTGAGGGCCGTCTCTTTTTCTACTTTCCTTCTCATACTCACGCGCGCCCCCAGCCATCCTTCGCTCCCTTCAGCCTCCACCCAGATAGGATCTCCGCGCCCGAGGCGCGGCCACCATTCTCTTGCTCCTCTCTTCATTCTGTCAAATTGCTCAAATTGTCACTCGATGAGGTGGTGTTGGTTGTGGGAAGAAGGGGAGGCGTGTCGAAAGCTTTGGATATGGTGGAGGAAAGTAGACAAATGAGGTGCAACTGAGCTCTAAGCCGGGTTTTAAAAAAGTGCTTATAGGGTTCGAAATACGTTTCGAGCTCTTATAGACCCGTTAATAAAAACTATAAACCAAATTCCAGGCTGATCCGGAAATGCCGAAACGCATGTACATCCACCCCGACAGCCCGGCCACCGGTGAACACTGGATGGCCAAGGGCGCCAATTTCCACAAGCTCAAACTCACCAACAATATGGCCGACAAGCACGGATTTGTAAGTGTTTTAACAAGTTTTACTTTTGAAAGATCGAAATACGTCGCCATCTCCCCTATTTTAGTCCCCCTCATCTAAAAATCCAGTCCCCCTCCCCTTTCCCCAATTAAATCCCTCCTCGCCGCCAACCCAACGGCGAGAGGTAATCGATGGTTTTCCGCACGCGGAATTTGTGAGTTTACGATCCCGACACCGGGCTATTCGTCGCGCGCGCGCCTCTGCACCCACCCGGTACGGTATCATTTGCGCGTGAGTGGTAGAAGGGGGCGACATATCGGCGACGCATTAAGCGTGGTGGTTGGTTGGGTGGGTGGGTGGGGCGCGTGGACCGGAACACACGAGTGGTGGCTCATGTTCTTCCCATCACTACACATACATACAATTGGTTAGATGGATGATACGGTGGGTGGGGTTGTGGGGGGGGTGGCTTCTTCGACAGGATGGATTTGAGTGTTTGCGCGTCAGGTGCAAGATTCCTCGGCTCCATGTCAGAAGGGGCTCTTCAATTCCTTGGGTGTCGCGGGGTGGATCAGGGAAGGCGTTGGAGTGGCAAAAGGAGCATTTTGGAGTGGGACGGGGTCGTCTTTTAGTAATGCGAAGAATAGAGGGGATAGAAGTAATTTAGTCATTATTTACGAACAGGTGGGATACCGTATACCGTAAAGTACCGTATTTTTATAAAACAAGTGAGATTTTCGGGTTGCAAATGTTATCGACTTTAATTTGGTTGGGCGAGGCCCGAAAAAGACAAAAACATAGTTTAGCATTATTGAAAGAGGCAACTTCAGAATTTTCAGCTCCTTAGAATGCACTATGTCTAAGATCAAGAAACGTTTTTACCTAAAAAATGAGTCGTTGCTTCGCTTAAAAATTCAATACCTTTGAGGTCTCTGAAAAACGATGTCCCAATTTAAGCAAAACCCCTCCCCCTTTTTCATCCATTCCACAACGATCCAAATGCCGGATATCACGATGCCGAACGAAGCGTGGCGGGTGTTTGCCCACCAGGTGCAAGAAGTCTCGGCTCGATGTCACAAGTGGGCCGTCAGCCGTGTATCCTCCTCATCCCCCTTCTTCTTCTTGTGTCCCATCCCATTTCCCTTTTGGACCCAGCCTTACGACGAGAGAAATCTGTCACCCCTGCACCGTCGAGAGGACAGGGGGGAAGCTCGGGCGGGAAAACGATACTTTTGTTCGCCGCCGTCGGGTTACGGTATCGAGCTGGGCTGGGATTACGCGGGACACCGTTTCGGGACCAACACGAACAAAAGCATTGGGGGTGGGGTGGGCGATCGGGGGGAAATTGGGAAGAGTATAGTGTAGGGAGATTCTCGTATCAATTACCGATCGATATATTCATTCCATTTCAGACGATACTCAACTCGATGCACAAATATCAGCCTCGGCTTCACGTCGTCCGATGTTCCGAGCTGATCCAGCTGCCAGTATCGACGTTTCGGACATTCGTCTTCAAGGAAACGGAATTTATTGCGGTCACGGCGTATCAAAATGATAGGGTGAGTCGCTTATATCTGATTTGGTTTGATCGGATTTGAATCCTGCTCCAAATTATTTTGGTTTCCGGCCCCATACCATCGCATAGTAAGCCATTCCTCTCGCCTCTCTTTGGGGGTGCATTCCATCAAAAACCTGGGCTTTCCTGAACCTCCATATGGCCATGGCAGTCAGTCTCCTCTCTTTGCCTCTCCCCCTCTACCTCCTCCTCCTTTTCATAGCTCGACGGCCTTCATGAAATCCGTCAAATTTGGCACCGCGTTTCCCCGACGCTGGCTAGGGAGGAGGGAGCCGTCGATAAATACTCGGGGGCAATTTTCGTCACGTCGTTTAGGCTATTATGCGGCCACTGGATATGGCTTCGCTAGCCGCCTTCAGTTAGCCTTTTCTGGCATCCGGGGGTTAGGTTTTTCGGGGGAATTGGGTACGGCTGGTTAGAGGGATGTGGATTGGAGGTGAGAATTTTTCCTAATTGATTATTCCCTTCCGAGCCCCTTTAAAGCGCATGCTCAATGTGGTAGATAGGTGTATGCGTGATAAACGGGAGCTTCAGGTGTAACTCAGCGCTTTTTTAACCCATATTTCTACATTATACGCCCTATAAAGTCTTCCATTCCACTCCTAAACCCGTTACACCCTCCAAACCGCACCCGCGCGGCCCTTTCAAAGCGTAGTGTCCACTGACGCGGTGCAGGTGTTGCTGGGAGCCGCGTACCGTAGCCCTCACCCCATCCCCTCCGAGCCAGATGCCCCGGGGCAAGGGAGCCGGGCCATAATTTGCGCTCATTTCGCGCACCAGCCCCTTTATGTGTGGCAACGGCGCCGCTATGGTGAGGCTTGTAAGCGGCTGGATCTTGTAAGAGGGGAGAAGCTGGCCACCGGGGGATGATCGATGGGCTTGGTTTTAGAACGGAACGGCAGATTACCGTAGGCGAAGGAATTATATGTAACCAGCGCCCAAAACCCGCTTCGCGGGCCTTGGGCGCTGGAATTGGGCCTTTGCATGAAAAATTTGACTTCCGATAGCTCGGGTGCTTCGGACCCCTTCCCGCTCCCGACCACACACGCGCGGGCAAATCGCAAGAATGAGGAAATTTGTATTTTTTCATATTATGCAAATTACCCCCAAAAATGAATAAAACCGGCTTTAACTTTGTAAACTTGTATTTTATCGAAATTCTGAAAACGCCATCGGAAAGAGGAGGGTCGATTCCTCGAAGAGACAAAGAATCAGCGCATTTTATCCAGGGGAAGGCCCTTAAATCGGGCCTCGAAAGTGACATCCACACACACACACAGAGATACACTCCAAAATTATATAAGGTAGGAAGTGTAATGCATCGGGAATAATGTATTGGGCGAGACGAAGTGAACTATTGCGTTTAATAAGATTTAAAGTAAATTATTTTAAGAGCCCTAACCTAAGGCTTTTAAAACCGAATTTCGTGGTGCGCGCTGAACGATTTTAGCAGATCGATACCTAAGCGATTAACGTTATCAAGTTTTCACTTCAAAATTAGCATAATTTTCCAGTTATCGCTTGAAGATTTTTTATTCCATAATTAAATTATAGAAACTCTTTGCTTTTTACACCTGCCCCTCCTCTAATTCGCCCATAAATCAGAAATCACATCGATCTCCCCAATCCCATCTCTAATTCGATAATCGATCTAATCCCCCTTTCCCCATCCCCCGTCCCCCTAGTTGTGTCGAAGCTGCCAGCCCATCTATCAGCGAATACACGGGTTTTTGTGTCGAACACGGTGTAAGATCTCACACGGGGCCAAGGCGAGGGCCCTCTGAGGGGAGAATGCCCCGGAGGGCCAACTGGCACCTTGTTGTACACGGATCGGGTGGTGGGCAATGCTTCTTGTCACTCTCCCCTCCTTTTTATCTCGAGCCCACCGTAGTCTCAGCGAACCCGAGAAAGGCGTCACTTGTTCATTTGAGGTGCCGAGACGAGCACCTGTGTGATCAGTGTCAAGAATTATGGCCCCAAAGTTTTCTTAGCGTCTAGGCCCGGTTCAACTCAATAGCTTGACCCTTAATAGCCACCCAAATCGAGGCGCCTGCCCCGACGACAATCGGAAATTCGAGTCCCACGTCCTTCTCTCTGAAGAACCCTTTAGTCTAAAAGGTGTCCTTTCCCCACCTACCGTATATTTGCCCCCCGCATAGGCCCTTCCAACGACGAGTGCCATAATCAGTAATCGGATCCCCCTCCTCCCCCACCTACCTCCACGCTCGTATTTGCAAAAACTCGCACGTTGGACCTTCCCATTTTAGTCGAGCCTCTCTCCCCCGCGGATAAGTGCCGCGTAATGCCTATGCAAATGGGAGGGGAGGTGGGCCTTATAGGGGGGAAGAGTCGGGTTACTGTCAACAGATTAGGACGGATTTGGTGGGGAAGGAGGAAAGGAAGAGCTTCTGCAATGGGAAACATATGGAAGAAAATTAAAGGTTGTCCAAAAAATTATGATTTATTTTGCAGGTGACGCAGCTGAAGATCGACAACAACCCATTTGCCAAAGGTTTTCGGGATTCTGGTGCTGGCAAGCGGGAAAAGAAGCGGGTGATGCAAAATGGGTCCCTTGGACATCCGCCAAGGTCCGATCAAAGTGAAAGCGGAAGTAGTCCACCTCCAAAGGTACGGTAGTTGTTTTGAATTTTGTGTTTCAAGGAGTAGTCGTTGATAAAAATTCATTGTTAACCTTGTTATACTATTTTTTTTAGTCTTCCCCTGACCGTCGTGCCGACAGTGCGGAACGTGATGAAGAAGATTCTGAAGATGAAGAACGGGGTCCGGCCGCGAAACGCATCAAGCACGAAGGACCCACCCACAGCCCAGTTAACCCCATTACAGGTTTGTAAATTATAAAACCATCAAATAATTTTGTTATTTAAGGAATAGGCCCTCCTCCCGGCCTACCGCCACGTGGGCTCCAGCCCGGCCTCTTCCCATTCATGATGCCGCCGCCCGAGCTTTTCTATTCCCAAATTTTATCACATTGGCAAGCGCAAGCCGCGTTGATGCAGCAGACAGCAGGTAGAGTTATAAAGAATTAAATATACACTGCTAAAATAATAGAAAATCCCCAGTAAGAATTAAATCATTATTATTTAATCTCAATTTTTTTAGCTGCCGCCGCTGCTGCTGCTGTCAGCCCTACCGTACCTGCTCTCCCTCCAACCCCTCCAGCCACCGTCCCTCGAAGTCCCAAAAAAGAGCTCGAACCCCAGATTGCCCGAAAAGGCTTCGGGGTTTGTGATCTCCTAGCCAAAGAATAACTAGTCTCCTATTTTTATTCTTATTTTTCTAAAATCCTTCCCTCTCCAAAAATTGTACAGTGTCGTATTCCTTCTAGGCGGGTCGTCTCCAATCCTGAATCCTTTATACAAACCACCGAGCCGATTGATTGCTTGATTTTCTTGAGCTTGTTTTGCTTCCCCTGACCGTCCGAACCGTGTACGCCCCTGCAATAATTCCATGTAAAAATCAAGAATCGCCCCCCAAAAATTGATTTTGATCTGCTTCTGAAAATGCGGGATAGTTTGTTTGTGTGTGGAGCGGAAATTTGAACTTTCTGAGCTCGATTTTTGAGAAATGACTCCACAAAATTCTATATCTTTTTTATCCATTTTGACGTATCTTCTCATAGCATACGGTAGCGCTACATACCAAAGACCATTTCTGGAACTCAATACATATATCTACTCTTGTTTTTGTGAGTACAGTCCCCCATGTGCAATCTTCATCCGTACTAGCCCCATTTCTGGCATTTTATCCAATTGATGCATTCCATTTATTCAAAAAAATGTCCCCCTTTCCCCAAATAAACGCGCGGCTTTACCCCCCGGCAACAAATCGAACGCATTCCCAGTGATATATGAGTTTATTCATTTTACTATCTCTTGCTCTCTCGCTCTCACCATTTGGATCCCCACCATTTACGCGCATATTCTTCCTGAAGACAGAAAGGTTAGAAAGTGACTATGCAATGCAAATAAAGACTATTTATATATGGTTGTTGTAAAAATGCACGACAGCACTATACTTTATCTACAAGACAGGAAAAAATATTATTATTATTAAATACATTCTTTTTAAAGCATCTTCATACTGATTTATATCTTTATACATTTAAAGCATTTTAGCTCAATAATGCTCTCAACGCCATTGCAAATTAATAATCAGGGTTAGGTCTATTTTTCTTATTTATATCTTCGTAAATTAAAATTATTAATTTTCATGTTTTATTTTGAATTACATTTACCATCCCTTTGTCAATTCCTTCAATCGATATTTCAAAAATCTATAATTTACATGATTTATTCTCACAAATCCGATTTTTTTAAAATATTTTTTGATTAACTGGAGTGCTTCAAATGCCTTTTCCCTCCTCATCTTTCTCAATTACCAATACCACGTGCCACCCGCTTCGATCCGCGAATTTTAACAACAGTATTTGCACAAATCGGCCGCACCCGATTCGTTGCCGGCAAATTTTACAGGGCCCACGACACGGGGCCACCGTGATCGGTGGCGAGGGGTATTAGTGGCGGCACATGTTCGACATCGGGTGGGGGGGGAGGCAATCTGAACAAATACATACACTTCCCATCTGAGCCCGCCACCGCGGCCGCAATGAAAAGCCAACGAGGCGCGATTCGGGTTGACGCTGACCATATTAATGGGAGGGAGAGGCAGTTTTTCGAGAGTTTGAAGATTTGAAGATTGATTATTTTGAGGTTGTGTTCGCAAATTAAATTTTTGAAAAAGTGATTTTGAGGATTAGCCAAGGGATCTTTTTTAGCTGGATTCCCAAAAATCACATTTTGCGAGAGCATTTTCGAAATTTTTCGAAAAAGCAGATTTTCGAAAACATGGCATTCGAAAAATTTGCGTATACCCTTTCTGGTCTTTTCATATCGGTAGTCAGGAGTGAAAATTACAGAAATCTAAGAGAAGACATTTTCCGAGAAAAACGCTTTTCGAAATAATGTTTTTTGAAAAAATGACCTTTTAAGTTGCTCCTTTCGAAAATCTCAGGAAACATGCTTTTCATGGAATTGCTATTCAATCCGAGTAATTTTTTTTGCTAATGTGCATCGCGAATCTACATTGAATTTCAATTTCACAACACCAGCGCACTAATGGCGAAGGACATCTATCTATCATTAATGCTGTGCCGGGCTTACCCCTTCACATTAACCACAATTTATACCCTACCCTCCGCCGGGCAAACAAGCTGGTATCAGCATGGCAGCCGATATTTACAACTTGGTGACCTCGTAAAAACCCCAGCCAACCACGCAGCCAAATAAATGGGCCTACAGGACAGAGGCTTCTCGGCGTTTTTTGTGGGTGTTGAATACCTGGCAGTCCATTTCGAACCCATTCCAGAACGTTTGAAACGTAACGGTTGGATGGGTGGAAAAAGGGGGCAGTCGTTTTATTGTCTTCGGGGCAGACGAGGAGGCTTTTGAAGTGGGGCGACATGGGGCGGAGGAGGCGGAATGAGAGATAATTATCCTGTTCGTTGGATCGTTCGGGCCATCAGCGCTGGTTTTTGGGTTGGGCCAACGGTAGTGAGGTGCAGGTTATCATAGAGGTGGAGGGTCATTGTGAGAGTTTGGTTGGTGGGGTGGGTTATGGTCGGGGAAAGTGGTTTAGGTAGCAAACAGGACTTTGGAGTTTTTTAGGGGAATCGCAAGGGTTCCAAACCATCTTTTTTAGCTTATGGAAATAGGCAAAATTCTAGGTTTTCAGAACGCAATGCGAGGCACGCGTCAAAAAGAGTGGGGCGAGGCACGAGGGAGCAGAGAATATTTATGTTAATTTTAGCCTATGTCCGTTTAATGCCAATTTTTCCCTAATGATCCCTGATCCCTTGTAATCAAAAATGTTAGTTTATAGTAGTTTATAGATTAATCTCCAAGACAACAATAAAATTCATCAATTATGTTTTTTAGCAAGATAGAATTATACACAAAAAGCTATTGTATCGATAGAGCCCAAATCCGTCTAATTCTAGCAACGCTACCGTATCCCAATCCTGACTCAATCTTGCTACAGTCCATCGAAGATCGATCACTCACCATCCGATACCACCCACCAGACGACGGTTTTATTGTCTTTCTGTGAATCAATGACGGCTGGAAAAGACGTTCAGGAAACCTTTGAAGAAACCGATGCCTCCCCCAGATAGACTTATATTGAGAGAGAGAAGGAGAGCCGTATCCGAGACAATTATCCACCCCACCCTCTCCAACCCTTGCCGGGGCGTTGTTGTCGAAATCTTTACGAGGCCCGGGGCCCTGCGGGCACATCAGTCATGCGAGGTCAGCCAGCCTTTCACCCAGCGCACGCGCCGCCATCCACGCCCCCGGATTTATGACCGAAGATTGAGATCGACGAGGAGCCACCGCTCTTTTAGAAGCGAAACCCTTTGGCCGAAACGGGACATATAGAGGGGTGGTGGGTCTCTTCCGGTTGGTTAACGATCGTGTAGAGGGTTTGGGATAAACCGTGGTGACGGGGTGGTGATATTGTGGGTTTGAGGGGTGTATTCCTAAAGATGTTCTACAGGTAATATGTTTTCAAGTATGGGTGTTTCTAAAGTTAATATTGTGCGTTAGAAGCTATTTTTCTAAAGGGATTGTGTAGCCAAATGGTGATTTCCCGGATGATCATTGTAGAATCCATTTTTGAAAGGTATTTTATTTGGGCGTTTTGCAAAACTTAGCTTTTAAAATCCGATATAGAGATAAAGCTGCAAAGAGAACGATCTGAAATTTGTATGGAAACGACCTTTTCATTTCGTTTTTCTTGAAGGAGTAATTTGCATCAAAATCCATATTTCAACCCGAGATCATACAGACCATTTTAACAACCCTTTTGCACTTCCAGTTCCTTGAAAAATAGTCTCCATAGATTTTTTTCTTCCCCAACCCTATCATAAAAATTTTTGCCAAAACCACTTCCAACCATCAATTTCGAACCCTATGGACCCCAGATTTTCAACCCGTGTTTTCCTCCACCTCACAACTCATTAATCCCCCATCACGCCATGTTTTATTGTCCAACGGCATTAAGCGGAAATTTCTATTTGTCGACTAAAGCCCTCTCCTCAAGGGAATGTGTCTAATCGTCGCGCGGGCACCACCACATGATATGTTGTCGCCCCTGATTTCTTTTGCCCCCACCTGAAGGGTACGGTATCGTCGCACCCGGGTCCCTTTGCGCGTTTTTTGGAGGCGACCGGTGCCCGAATTCCCTCGGTAGCCCTAACGCCCAAGTGCAAATAGGAAGCGGTGGAAGACCGTAATCCTACTTGGGGAGGCTGTGAGAAGCTGCAGAAATCAGACCTATCAGTGTCGGGGGTGATTGGATTAATGAAAAATTCATTAAAAATAGTTCCAGCTTGAAATTTTGGGAAAAGTCAGATTTGGGAAATTCCTCATTCCTAAAAAGGAATTTAGTTTTCATTCAGAGCGCGTGAGAGAGAGAGAGAGAGCGAGAGAGAGAGAGATTAATTCAGCTGCTGAAACAGCACAATCCGCAGGTAAGCTTCGTAAATTTTTTGAAGCTCTTGAAAGCTCTTTAGAAGCTTTTATTTCAAATTTTACATTCTCTAAAATGTAAAGCTACGCTGAATATCGACAGCACGCTCCATTTGACGTCGACGGTTTTTTGGCACCCAATTAGGTGAGGGAAGGGCCTCTCTCCCTATTGGACAGGCAGACATTGAAGGATCGGAAGATCGGATCGCCAGATCGCGTCTTTCATGATTGATAGGGGCAAGGACGGACAATGGCCGGAACGGATAGACTCCTTGTATTTATAGTACGAAGGGACCAAATGCTGCTTTTGGAAATTTTTGTATTTTAGGATGTGAGACAAAATTATGCAAATTGTGTGCTGGCTGTAATGTAGGTGCTTATCAGAAAATTAGTATATATCAATAATTAAATTTTAAAATTGCGCAGAAAATGTATTTTATAGATCTATAAGTACCTAAAGATTTACTAAGTCACCTGAAATACTACAATATCTGAAAACCATTTTGTAATTGTTCACGGAAAGGATGATAGCTCTAATTTTCACTCCATTTAATTTTGCAAAAATTTCAATAATTTTATGAAGCATGGCGATTTTGTGTCTCATTTTCCGTTTGATATAGGCATTTAAGAAAACCAGATTCTTTCTCAGTTTCATTTTCATCTGACCGCCTCGAAGTTTGATTCAAAATCGCAAATTCACGATTTTTAAGGTCCGTTTCTCGGCAAAAATGACACACAGCCGCCTTGACATCAATCCCAAACCGAAACCCATACCATATGTGGTGGAATACCATGTGTCCGAAATGCCTCTCCACCACCCAGCCTGTCAGCCACCTGTACAGAGGCGCCTCCCGTACTATGGGCCATTACCCCATCCACCGCCAAAAGGCCATCCGGGGGCCATTAAAAGGGCATCGGAAGGGTCGTGGAGATGATGAAAAGAAGATATACCCCTGTGGTCTCCTCGTCTCTCTTTGGTCTTTATATTCCGAATGTGCTCAACCCATCGGGCGCAACATTTTATGCCCACGCTAACCCCCAGAGGAGGAGGGTGCTGCGGTTCATGTGATCGTGGATGACTCTAGTGGTCGTGGGGTGTCTGCAAATTGAGGAGAGGCGGAAGGAGGGAGGAGGTTCATAAAAATGTGGCCTGGGCTGGATGACATATGGAGGATGAGGGATCCCTGCAAATTATTTGTCTGTATAGAAATAATGTCTGTCTGCGCCACTTTGCCTCAAACTTTGGACCGGTATTTCACAGCGGGGTTTGTATGATACGTTCGAGGTCGCTGGATACATTTCATCCTTTCTTAAAATGAATTTTTCCGCATACTAAAGTTCGTTTTTGAGCCCGGGCGTAGAGTTAATTTTTATAAAGCGCAGAAAAAGCCGCTTATATATTTTTTGTCAGAATTTGAGACTAACTACGCCAGATAAAGACTGTCATATCTCCAGCCGGCGTCTAGCTAGCCAGTTTTTATTGGTTTCTAAGCCCATCGTCAGCTCTTGAAAAACAAACCACCAGAAAATCGCATTAAACCGCTACCGTACCCTCTCAGCCCCCTTCACGCCATCAACCCCGGATACCCGAAGGCGCGCAGTTGGGCGGGGGAATACCCAATGAGTGACTTCCGAGACTCCTTGAGCAGCAGTTGACTTCCATCCACTCGCCCCTCGCTTTGGCTAAGTGGGGGATTGAGATATTGCGCAACGAAGTTCTCACAGCCGAAATGCGACACTAATCATACACATATGAGGGGCGGAGGGGAAGAGGGGGTGAGGGGAACTACTTGCCTTCATTGGTATTGCGTGGATATTGTTTGGGCACTGTCTACCGGAAGGCGATTGTTTGGGGATTAGCTACAAAGTTTGAGGTTCTATCAAAAATAAAATTACTCTAATAGGGCTTTAGTATGTCCTAATACTTCAAATATACAGTTGAACACCTCAAGGCCAAAGCCGCTGATCGATATCAGCTTACAGCCACCTGCATTCCATATAATCCCTTCCATTTCCTTTCATACGTCGATTCAGGTGTTCCCTAATGGAGTGCCACTTCCTTTACTCTCGGTCTCGGTCTCTCTCTCTCTCTCTCTCTCTCCACTCAATCGACCCGATAAGGCGTGAAACCGAACGGTGTGCCCAAATCCCCCCAGTAGGGTGTTCGAATTGGTAATCCGCGAGCGTATTGTGGCAATTAGCTATCGGGGCCACCCCGAAGGTGCGCCTTTTAACCCCTTTTCGGTCAGAACCGGGCGTCCTTTTTCAAAGCGACTACCGGTTGGGCAGCTGGCCGAGGGCAAGTGACGAGAAATGGTTGTCTCGACAGGTTTTGGGGGCAGACGAGAAATTTGCATAGGGACCTTAATGATAGAAATTTTATACCAACTCATAACTAAGACTAGCGACATAAACTTTTTCTTCTTCCCTCCCGACTACAGTATACGAGATGGGATATAGGAACGGGCTTCCCTCTTTGTTTGCCCCATCGAAAAATGAGCGCCTAGATGTCGAGCCAAGATACGGGCGGCGGCCAACGGCTTTGGATGAACATTTCACGCTCCGATTCATCCAACACAGCGCCGATAGCCCAAGGAAAAGCTCGGCTTTTTTTGGGAATATGGGGCGACGTCGTGGCAACTGAAACGTGGTCTTAAAAATCGGGATGCTTGGGTATAGGAACTGTACTAAAAAATTAATTTAAGCGTGTATATTTACTTAGATAGGATAAGTAAAATATTCCTTCAGGATATTCGAGTGCTAACAGGCTTGGGGCAGCTTAAGGTAAGGATGTTATTTAGGTTTAATCTTACAGTTCTAAAAGACTATTTCAACCACAATCAAAAATCACGCAAAAAATTGTGGTAAAATAGGATCCCTATTTAAGATAATATATTTGCATCCGCGGCTAGGGAGCTAGATCTCATGAAAAGGTTACAAACCTGTTTTTCATATTTAGTAGCAAACCAACTACAATTGATCGTCGGTGTTGTGGAATATACATTTTCTTCAAAAATCTATTTGCTTGCCGAGAAACCCAAGCACAAATCACAGCCCCAAAAAACTGACCCTAGCTGACCAAAAGAAAAGGTGTGAACCTGGCAAACTACAGACTATCAGCAAACAGATCGGCGACTGCGGCAGACTTTTGAAGAATTCTGCGCACTTATGTTCGAGAGTATTGGTGAGAATTTTCTAGAAGAGTTTCGGGGTATATAAGGAAGTCACGGCTTGCTTTTTGGAAGGACAATGTTTTTAAATTTTATAAATTAATGTACAAAATATGATAAATCCAAAATTTTCGGGCAAAGCCTCGTTTCTAATGTATAACATTCTAAGCTGTAAAAGGCATAGCAAAAGTTGGGTTTCCAATAATTCTTCGACTTCTAAAAATCTTTCAGATTAAGTTCGGTGCTTCACTAAAGCCTCTAAGCATCCGCAAATCTTATTAGCTGGTTGGATCCAAAACATCGAAATACATGCTACAAAAATCTAAAACGATGCATAAAAATTTGTTGTATACATCGCCCCAATTAAATTTTCTAATCCAGATTGTTGGAATTCGAGCTATAATTTCCCTCATCTCCAACCACAGCTTACCGTTGTATTTTACGTACAGCTTTGGAGACGCTTTGAACTTTTGATTGTCCTCGCCACACTGATCCCTAACTGATGCCGAGGTTATTTTAATACGTCGGCTTAACAGACTGCTGATACGACCCGTGGCACTCAAAGTCGATCTGTTGATTCGGTGACTCTAACCCCCTCTATGCTTGGCTTTTGCCGATGTAGTGCGCAAAGGGGAGGCCCTCTCAGATCACATGGGCTGTTTGTACATCTTAGGGTGGGGCCAAAGAAGAGTTAAAGCGCAGGAAAATAAGCTGGGGGAGTGTGTTGAGCAGACACCCTGCCAACATCGTTTTTCAGTCTCGGCTTGACCCATTCTGTTTTCCCGGCGGACTACTCCACATCCAGTCGGTAAACGTCGGTTGGCCAGGTATTTAGGCGAGTGGATGGTGGGGGGATTGAGCACAGTTTTTGAAAGCGGCGTCGCGGCTTTTAGTTTTTTGAGGGTGATGAAATAGTACTGCAACTCTAGATTAGTCGGGTCCTTTGTTATTCTTAAGGCTTCGTCAACTATCCTAAATTTACATATTTCAGAGTTAACTACATAGGAGAATTCGGTATTCTCAAATGCAAATTAACTTTTAAATTTTAGCCATTATTTATGTGAGATATGGTATCTTGAAGAATCCTTCAGGAGGTGTGTCAAGATTTTTTGATTTTAGATTTTTTGAAGCCGTTGTTTGCGCCTTATAGTTTTTTGGAGGGCGGGGGGATCCTATTTTACTCGGTTCAATCCGTTTTATTATGAAGATTCGATTAGCATGATCAAAATTAGAATCTTTTATGACTAACGGTGTAAAAAATTAGCATTCTTCAAGTTTTTCCGATAATGGCTAAAGAAATCGTAGGTCTCCTTTCCGAACCGGAATCGGCTTTGAATATTCACAAATATTATTTCACAACTTTTTTCTTTACTTTTGGATGTTTATTCCTCTGATTCGAACCTTTCAGAACATGAGAAGCTGCACTCTATTGCTTGTCGCCTTCGCCGGCCTCGTCTACACGTGGGATCTCCACGCGTTGGACCTCCGAAGCTTGATCACCGATAAGGATACCCGAAACAAGCTGAAGGACCTCAGCAACAAGAAGGACATGCCACGGTTTGTACCATTATTTGTCTGAAGTAACTGGTAATTTCTTATTTGATTTCTGCTAAACTGCAGAATTTTTTTCTGATGATACCTGCCGATTCCACTCTGCTCCTGTTAAAGTGGTCAAATAGATCACGAGAAGGGGACATCGGGTTGGCTTTCTAGTGTTTTTTGGCCATAGTCGGTCAACCTGAAAGCAAATAAACCGGGGTGATTTTGGAAAACAGAAAAGTAAGGCAGGACAAACTCTACATACAATGATAAGTAAATACACTAATGCGAAGCCAAAAATTACCCAAAGCCATAAATTTAAAACCAATTTCCAGATCTCAAATGCAGCAACAACTCCAGCAGTACGTCCAGATGCAACCACAAATGGTCCAGGTATTTAGAAAACAGGGATTCAAGGCATTTTTTATTTAGCAAACCTACCAAACCATTGCTCGCGCCAAGGACCAACTTCAACAATCCGAATGGCAACAAAAGATGCAACAAGCCCAACAAATGGGACTTGGCCAGGTCTACCAGCAATTCATGCAGATTGACCAGTGGGTTTTATAAATTTAGACATTGATGAATGATTTTTCAGGAACTTGAACATGAGCCGAGACCAGGCTGAGAAGGCAAAGAAGGACCTCGTCAAGGCTCTTCCTGATGATCAGAAGAAGGCCGTTGAAAGGATGGACAAGGACTACTACAAAGACATCATGGAGTTGACGAAGAACTGAATATAATTCCATTCAGTTTCAATTCGAATTTGTACGTACTGAATAAATATCAGGGATGACATTTAAAGCGAAATTGTGCGGTGAGGGGTGCAGTGCGAATCGTGGAAAGATTTATTTAGAACAAGACATGATATGCTAATATTTATTTCACAAGCTTTATTCTGGATTCTTCTGGATTGTTAGAAGGCTAGGGTTCGGCGTCCAATTCGCGGTTGGGGCTGATCACCTTGTAGAGGCGGTTGACCTTCTTCACCCAGGTGTAGAGCGGATTGCTCATAAGGACGGATGTTTCGATCAGTGGCGCCTGGAGTAAAGGGATTAAACTCTGGCGTTGGGGTTAAACTTTTGAAGAGATGATTTTGAGATTATCACCAAGTTCAAATCCAATTTGACATCATTGTGGCTATTTTAATTTTGGCAAGCTATTTGAAAAGTTTAGAACAAAGGAAAACCTAAAATTTTCTGAAATCGCGAATTAGAATTTTATTTTAAAATTAGTTAAATCGATTAATAATAGTAAATTATTATTCGGCTACCATTAAAGTTATAATTTTGTATCCTATAAATTTTTAATATAAAAAGGTGGGAAAAGTACCGTCTCATTCTCCTTCTGCTCCTCCAACGCAGCACCCTCCGGCTCCGGCTCATAGAAGTGATTTTGGAACTGGAACGGCGTCTGAAAATAAAATTAAACGTTTTTTTTACAATTTACGACCAACCTGATCCATATATGGTGGGTAGGATCGGCCGTAGCGGATGAGATTGATGTCAGACATTGTCAGATATGCCTGTGTTGGCACGACAATGCCGATGCAGAGAAGGACGAGCACCTTCCAGCTTTCCATACCCTAGGGAAGGTTTGAGATGACTTGGGTCGATTGGAAGTACGGATGGTAATTAATGGGTTCGAGGGCATGTCACAAAATTTTATGATGGTCGGGGTAAGGAAAACGGGTGATGAGAAATGAAGTGGGAATGTTGCTAAATTAAGTGGGAATGTTGCTGAATCCCTTTTATACACGCCCTCCCCGGTACAACCTTTCAAAACTGCAAATAGAGCTTTAAAAAGTAATATTGGTTTTTGTTCAAGCTAGTTTTGATATTATGAGTAGTTCTAAGCTATTTAAAATGCCAAAAACCAATAGAATTCGTCAAATTGTAACACGTTTACCCATTTTTTTCACTTTTAACTGGTTAAATCGAAAACATATAAATATGGCACCCTGTTGCCTCTATTGAAAAATCTATGCCTTTGATACCCGTATACGACTTTTCTAAAATATGGCGAAAAGGAAATTTGCAGTTTGAACGATTTTTGCTGAATTGCAACTAAGAGCATAGCGTGGTTTAGAATGGCCTACGGGAGCAGATTAAGCCCTCTCCCTTTTAGCACGTATACCAAGAAAATACAGGTGTCAGTCAGTGCTTTAACTTTATTAAATTGCAATAAGTTGCGAAAGCATCAAAACGGCCACCCCTGGGACCGGCAACCTAAATGGACTCCCCGAACCCCACCTCAACAATTTATACCAGCCCCCCACAAATCCGCATCCGAAGACTAAGTGAATGCCTCCCACAAGATTTTGCCCCTGGACGATTCTTCAGTTCACCCGTCATTTCTATCTACCCGCCCCTCTCTCGCACACAACAACACATGGTGATGAGACCAGCATCAAATCCCCGGGATTAAAGTCTCATAAATCGCCCATGCCCCCAGCCAATCGGAGGATTCGGTTTTTTTATTCAAAACTGCTGGAAAATACCCCACGTTTTGGCCTTTATTAATAATTTTTAGTGAAAGGGCACTAATCCTGGACCTTTGTGCGGGACTTTCGATGGCAAAGAACATATATAATGTCAAATCATACGATATAACGACATAGGGAAACGTCTTGGATTGTAATTCATAACGACAAAATCTAAATTTGCGATTTGAGTTGTGGTATTCTGGAAGAAGCGCAAATTTTGTCTCATTTAAAGCAAAACAGCTGTTGCGCAAACTCCCCACCTAATCCCACCTGCTTCTGTAATCCGCCCCCCAAAACTGACTAACCAATCCCAATCCACAGGTGAATATTGCTGAAAAAGCCGGAAATTCAGGTGGGCGATCCCGGAAAAATCCGCCAGATGGAGCGCATGGAAGACCAAAAAAGCTGCGAAAAAAATTGGACTTTGATAGCACTTGTTGGGCCTGCAGAAGCAAAAAGCTGAAGAGAATTTTTAATCAGGATCAATGTTTTCAATATTGAATCGATTGTGCCAAAGACTTTCAAAATACTACTGACGTACTATGGATAGGTATTCAATGCGAAACCCCTGAAACTAACAAAAACGTAGAGTAAAAGTCAGGGGCAGATTAAATTGGGGGGGGGGGGTGAAGCCCTGCCTAAAACACAAAGAATCTACTTGATGATAACTTGGATTAAAGTTTAATTTGAAAAATTGGAATTAAATGGTAATCTTTAATCAACAACTTTCACTGAATGCAATCATTGTCGAGATTGTTGATCAGCACAAACTTCCGGATTCTGGGGGGGTTAGAACGGGACGAAAATTGTTAGTGGTGCCGCTTTTTAAATATTGTTACCAATATTGCATAGAAGTGACGGTTTAAGAGCTTTGGGTTAGCCAATTAATGCCTGCCTGCCAAGGAAATAACAGGGAGGGGGGGGGGCGCCGTCAAATGTTATTAGTCGCTTGGCACTCCATAGAGTCTAGAAAATATGGTGGCTAGTCAACAATATTCAGATCTACTACGATTTATGCGTTTCGCCACATCTGGATATGTATTTTTCAGAAACTACAAAAGCCTAAACCCCCTAAAACCCGGAATATTGATGGTGAAGCCAGGGTTGTGTCCGTGTGTGCCCAGGGATGAAAACCAATTACCGGGCAATGGTGAATCTTCTCCTATTTGGTCTTTCCTTCATTCCTTCCACATCTACTCCCATTATCTGCAGATGGATCGAAAGGGAAAATGGGGGGTTGAAGCGGAAGCACAAAGCGGTAATGGAATTGCTGTGGATAAATATATATTGGAGGCAGTGAAGTAGAAGAGATTATCCGGTCAATGCAGCAACCAGGAGGTTTTTAGTGTGAAATTGAGTTGAACCTTGTTGTGTGATGATGTGAAAGATACAAAATACAGAATTCTTCTGAATAATATATGTAGTTTGAGCTCTGTTCATTTTAAGAATTTTTAAGTTTTTTCCGAACCCTTAGGAGATTCTAAGATGTAGATTTTTATGCAAATTTATACTCCATCAAAAATTTATTCCTATACATCAATTTGCTACACAAAAATCCCCTCGTCACTGACGATTGATGACGGCAGCATACCGAGTGACTTTCCTAAAATAAACAATTTCGTACCATAGCCACCCATCCCCCCTCAATTCAGCCGGACCAACTTTACATGTTTGTCACGATATTCTTATCCTCCCCCCGAAAAAAGAACGCCTGTCGGATTCCGGCCGTATTGAGGGATTCCGAGACTGGTCTCCGAACCTCGGACACTTCACGCAAGCGCCCATAATTACAGTATTTTTTCTAGCTGAAGAAAGAAGTACATTTTTTGCGGCACAGGTGGAAAGCCAAGCGATCGCCACGCCTTACCCTGTGGGGTTTTTTTGCGCCTAACTGGATACGGTAGATGGGTAATGTAGCGGAAAGGGTGGATTTGAGAACGAGGGTTTTGGATGGTGGATTGGGTGGGGAAAAATTCAATATAAATTTAATATAAATTCTTCATTCTCAGATTATTATTTCAAAATTTTCCAAGCCAAAATATCCATAAAACAAAAAGCCCGAGACGGCTGACAAATTGTAGACTACGTGACGGGGGGATAATAAAGTGCAAGCATTTTCTTTGCTTCCGGTGAAAATCCGGTTTAATAAAAAGAATGACCGCGGTGAGTTGCGGTCTAAGCGGCCAATTTGAAATGTGTTTTGGTACTGAATTAACAAAATTTGGGAAGTTATTTATATTCACATCCTCGTCACCACCCAAATCCCCCCAAAAAAAGCCATAAAATTTGCATATCCTGTTTCCACACCGTGCTTTCGTTTAGCAACAAGCTGTTAATCACCTCTCACCTTCAGCGCAAATCAAAATTCAAAGCAAAAATGAAAACTTACAACATAAAATGGCAGAAGCGATAGAAGCAGATTGGGGTGAGAGAAGCAGATTGCGTATGGGTGGAAGTGATAGACAGCAGAAACGGTGTGCTCGTTCTGGCCTAACGGTGGAAGAGAAGTTTTCTGCAAGCGATCGAGCCACTCGTTCAATTGGCCGGATAATGGGTAGCATAGCGTAGCTTTGTGTCTTTGATAGTTGTGACACAACATAAGGCAGAGACAAGGCAACCAGGCACTTTCAACAGGCACATGCAATCAATGAAGCGGTCTGAAAAAGATGGCGTCGGAAAACGCTACGTTTTATTGAGGGGATGGTGTTGCGCATGCTGCCGGATATAGCTTTTCAGCTTTATCCAAATGAGCTGACGAAGGGGCGGCTGAAAATTTTAGGGATTTTTTTACATGCACCGCAATTTATAGGTTTTAATATGTGAATCTGTAAAATCTGTATGGAATTTCTAGCTTGGTTCCCCTTTCTGCCAATAAAAATGGAAATCATTCAATTGATAAAAACTAGAAATAAAATGAGGTTGTAATATTTATCCCTGCTTAGCAAGGTGGCTATAAAAAATCAGTCGAAGCATGTATTTACATCAAACTGCGATTTTCAACCCCATGACTGCGAACTTCCGGGCCCAGCTAGCGAAAGCAACCCATGTTATCGTGTGCAAAAAAATTTTCACTTTCAAAAATTTTTCGAAAAACGGAAAAATTTGCGAGACTTTAACTTCCTTTTGATAATTACTCGAAAAATCCCAGTCCATCGCCGATCACTTCCTGTTTGATGTTATTCAGCTGTCACCCCTAACCTTTCTTCCAATAAGACCAAACACTAGTCAAAGACCAAATTCTGTCGAAGCCCCGCAAAACAATTTGCCGAAATGCGGGGTGCAGCATGACCCAAAAACTTCCGTTTCTAAAAGCGGCCAATCCGGGGGTTTTCTGTTTGTCTGAGCCCACTTTCCCCGTTTTCCATTATAACATTCTCATTCGAATTTTGCAACGCCAGGGTGGGGATCAGGTGCTTTTTCATGCGCCATTCCGTCAAATTGCGGGCAATATCGAAGAGGGGGGAATGGTGAGGAAGTCTGGTTTTTGGATTCAAATGGATTTGGCGTTTGGTTGCGCCTGATTCTGAAGTTATTACAAACAGTTGCCTCGCCATTCCCTTGGAAAAACTTGGTAGATGCGAAACTCAGGGGAAAAGGCCAGATAGAGTGGCCATCACACTACCACGCAAGAAAACGTGAAAGAATTCAGACTTACCCAAGGAAGATAAACCAATACCATAAATTGAAAAGAAGGAAACAGGTTGGGAAAACGACCGAAGATGCCTGTAGATTATTTTAAAAGTTAGTATAAGGATTATTAAGTACCCTATCTAATTTCCCTGCCGTCCATTGTGGGCATTTCTGGCATAACCAAGAGCAATGACATCTGAAAGATTTTTAAGGTGATTTCGTCCCAAGCTCGTCATTTCTTTGACAAAACCAAAAATCAAATATTTTACTCTAGCCGTTAAAAATTTCACTCGAAATCCGGACCGGAAGACTAGGTAAAAAATAAGTTGACCTAGTGCCTTTTTGCAAGCTGCCTAAAAACACTTACACAATTGCTCGATGCTCCCCATTTCTTGATAAATACCCAACGACAGCCAATTCTATCAAAGAGGCAAAAATAAACGCCATTGAGGATAGGATCCATACATCGATGGCTGAAAAGCGTATAATTCGGTAAGAAAGACTTAAAGCTACCCTTGACGTCACTAGTCTTCGGTAGATTCGACACGACAGAGCCGAACTGGAAGCTAAAACGGGAGGGAATTGATTTCATTTTTATATGGCCTACGTCAAAGCCAAAAGTGAATTCACGCCGACAGTGGTCCTGGATGGAATCTGCTCGGCGCCAAGGTAAAAAGATACCTTAATTTTAATTTCAGAAATTGTACAATCGTCATACCCATGAAATAAATACGGAAATATACGCGGGAACGTACACCTGTAAAATATAAAACCCGTATAGTCGTTGAAAAGTGAAGGTGGCGATTAACTCGTGGAAGATGCCAGGTGGATATAGCTAAAAGTGGTAATAAATATTTTTCAATACAAAATTTAGCATAGTAAGCGTACCCGCAATTCAGCGCTTGTATGGAAATCCACTAACACATAATCAGGTAGTGTTATATTTCCTTTCAAGATGGTAATTGGAGGTACGGTATCGATCCAGCGTAGCTCTACCTCGTGATAATTATGTGTAAAGCTTTCGTAGAATAGCATGCATCTTAAGGTTTTAAATTATTGTTAGAAAATTTGTTACATTCCAAAAATACCTTTGCTGATCGATAGGGAATGTTCGAAGTGTGCTCGAGCAAGGACCAACCAATTTTGTTCGATAGTTATGCCATATACTGCCATTACTAAAAATACAACTACCACCTAAATCCAAGGGTCCCACCTGTAGATTTGGAGAAATATATTAGTGAATGGGCTATTGTGAATACTAGCATCCTTTGAGTTTACGAAGCAAGCATGCGGCGTCCAAATCTGTTTTATCACTTTTCCGCCATCCACCGAAATGTTGCTACATTTAAGAATTATAATTTAAGGAAGGATTTAAGCTCTACTACCTTTTGCACGGATTCAAATGAGCGTATGCTAGGCTCGGATCCGTCCAACGTTCAGTTACGTAGATGTCCAATTCGAATTCGGAGGTGATTTCAATAATTTTCGAGACTTCTTGCACCCAGATCTGAAAAAGGCGTTTTAAAGGTATGGAGTTGTAAGATTTTATAGGGCAATGTGCAAATCTCACTTACCTCAACTGACACACTGACATTCCCACCACTGGGTAGCTCCATTTTTTCATAATTATCAAGCACGGCGGCAATGATTTCCGCATCGTCTGAATCGGAACGTTTGTATCGTCTTCTTGCGTCTTATAGAAAATTAAGTTCTTACCGGCACACCGCTCCCCAAGCGCATTCGTCGCAACTTGTTGCCCACGCCTTCTTGGGCTAAAAACGTATATAATTAAGAATAATTTTCATAAACTTACTTGTCTTCATAATCAACAGTTGTCGCGCAGACGACGATTAAAAATTGTAAAAATAAGCCGAAGCAACGCAATTTTTGATAGCTCATGTCGAACCCATGGCATTCAAGTGGTGAGGAGAGGTGCCTAGAAGGAAATTGATGTTGTGAATGTGGAGCAAATTAGATTAGAAAGATGAGGAAATCGAAAAGCGCAGATATATTCCAATATAGAACGTATTAAAGTAGCTTTAAAGTTGTAGACAAAATCAGATACAACACGACTCGACCTCTTTCCACCATCATCTAACTTTCAATAGTACTTCTGAGGGGAGTTATAAGAACTTCCACATCCTCCCCAGATCCGTGAGAAAGCTAGGATCAATGGAGTCCATAGGGCTCGGCCTACGGGTAGAGAATGGACAAAAAGCATAAAGAAGAGAAGGACGGCCCGGGGAATTCGGGGAAAAGCAGCATGGATGCTCCACAAACACACAAATGCACACCCACGGCCACAACGGAATATTCGATGAACCGGCCATAGGGATGCATGGATACCAATAATAACCCATTCTTTGTGGGGGTATTTTGGCTAGGGGAAAAAAGACAAAAGGAAAATGAAAGATTTAAATGTAAGTCGGAGGCGTAAGAAGTTAATGGCGTTTGAGCCACAGTAAGACCCAGAGATTTTTGTTAATGAAACTTGTATGAAGCCCGAAATGGATCCGAAGTCCTGGGACATGCTAATTGTTTCATAACAAAGGGGTAACAAGGAAATTCCATTTCGATACGGCAAGTTTTTAAAAATCGGGGATATTTACAATTTTTCGGGCCCATACGCACCTAATACCGTATGAATCATCCTTTGAACCGTTGTGACTCAAGCATGTTGATGTTAGCTGCATAAAATTACATACTACAAGAAGACATGCCAGTTGGTTTTATAGTAATTTTATAAACCTTCCGAAATATAGCCAAGAACAGAATTTTGCTTTGCTTTTCACGAAACCTATTTACTGTAAGACAAGCACTCCCACAAATTCAAAGCGCACTTTAAAACCCAATTTCCAAAAGCAAACACGATATAATCTATGCAAAAGCAAAGCTCTCCGCCGTCGAATGGAAGGGAAATGGGCGATGGGCCCGGATGGGTGCACCCTAGGGAAATGCTAGCTTTAAGGGCTATCTTTCGTCGTGTCAAGAAAAGAACAGAAAAGCCCTTCTTCGACGGCGAGCCTTCGTTGGCTCGCCGTCTCAGATCCATAGGGCCCTTCTCCCGCGCATAATTGGGCCCCGCCAGACGAAAAGTCGATCCTCCAACGGGGGCGAGCTCCTCACCAGGGGTGCCGCACGCATCTCATTCAAAAACAATGGGTTTCATGGGAAATTGGTATTGGTATGGATCGTTTGGCTACGTTAATGGAGGTTGGTAGAAAAGGGTTATGTTAAAGGTATTGCCAATTTTCGGGGTCAATCGTCGGATTTAACCTTTTTGCCTAATGGATACACCAGAATATTAATATTTTTTTAACTAATTTTTTGCGCCGTAACGCCTACGAAATACCTCCAGATGATTGCTAACTTATGGCCAATAATGCCTATTTTTTATATTAAACTATTTTTCTAAAAATTGGCTGTCCCTATTTGTTGCGCGAAATATTGCCATCATCTGCTAGAAGTGGAGTTGTTCCGATATAAAGCAAAAAAAGCAAATTTTTCGTTTTTACGAATGAGGGTTGTATCCTACTATATATAAAAAAAATAGTGTCTGTGTGTGTGTGCATTTGAATGCAACGTCCGTCTGGGTGTACCAGCAAAAGCGGCTCTGGGGAGGGTGTTTGAGGTATGTATCATACCTCTTTCGGTGCGTAATGTTCTTGCGATGACTGCACACATGCAAAATTGCGGAAAAGCGGTATTTTCCCTATTAAAAATAGGTTTTTGTAAAAAATCTCGGTCCCCCTCTTTGTTAGGGATCAATTAGCATGCGCCGGAAGTGAGGAGAGCCTATATAAAGGGATCGAAGGCGCTTTTTTCATTTTTGGCGTTGTGGTTCGAGATAATTATTCAAGTTGTAAATTCTCATTGGATAAGAAGGGGCCAGGGTTGAAAAGTCGCGAAGCGGCTTTTCAACCCTGGTGGGAATTAGTTCTACAATCGGTTATTGTCATTCTAGATCGGGAGCGGGGTCAGGGTCAAAGGAAAAAGCTGTAACTAACTGGATTTTAACGGCTGTCCTATTGAAAAATACATACCGGCTATCCAAAATCCATTTTGAGTGTTTTTCAGCAGCGCCCAACATCGCTGAAGCTCCCGTACCAAGTTGGAGAGGTCCGGGTTGCGCGAAATCCAATTGTCCGCTTGCCCGCCTCGAAGATTCGCCCGGCCCTGGGCAATCACCAACACCAAAAACTCCCTTAGAACTATAGGCGGTCAGACAAAAACGATGCTGTATAGGGGCTTAAAATAACATCATACCGATTATATAGCCAAAATTCGGCGACTGAAAAAAATACCGAAAAATTGTTTTATGAACTTAGCAAGGTCAATGTTTCAGTTTTAATACTTTTTCGTACTGTGTCACCATCGTTTACCATACGATCATTACCAAATATTTATTCGCGTAATGATCAATACGTTGAAAGATATGGGCAGCAAGATAAAATCAATACCTATTTCGTGAACGCTCGTGCCTGGGACATAATGCAAGCCGAATTAGAGCCCTGGTGTAATTGATACTGTAGCTGGTACGGGGCATTGTCTTGGAGGAGACGGATTACCGACTATAATATAAATCTCGGTATATTATTGCAAGCAGTCTTACCTTAAACTGCGTAAAATCCAATGTGATTTTTGTCGTCTGGCGTCCGGGTTTTACGGGACAAGGCACACCGTGCTCACAAGCATCCAGGTTCTAAAACATTAATTTCATGCATTGAATCTGAGCCCTACCGAAAGTAATCCAAGAGTTGGTACCTCACTCCAGTCACACCCGATCATACCCTTGTAAGCCCACAGTTTAATTGACGAGAGAACACCCTAAAGCTTCGGTTTTTCGGATGTCTAGGTATACTTTTTCAAAGGTATTTTTTAGCTCCCAGTCGGTTTCGACGACCAATGGCTCAGTGAGCTTGATGGGGTAGATAGCCTTGCCTAAAAAGAAAGTTGCGCTGGTAATTTTGATGTATTAAAGGGGTACCATTGACATCTTGTGTGACCGCCGAGTGATAGGTGGTGGTGCCTCCGCATTGCCACCAATGAAGCTTTGCGTACGTGCCTGCGCGTAGAATTAGGTATTTATTAAGGTATCATATTAATTAAAATGCGCTCAAAAAAGTCTCGTAAAAAATCCCACCATTCGGCCAATTAGCCTGTTTCGACAAATCACATGCCGAGGCGGCTAGTACGAATCCGAAAATGAGCCACATCTCTTCGAAATCACCATTTTCCGGGGTTCCCCCCACCATTTTATATGGCTTATCGGGTTCCAAGAAACTCCGCAAACATACCAAATGATAGCTAGGATTCTAGGGACGCCCCCACCACGTGTCGACTAATTTTGGTGTGTGGTCGTTGCCGCGATTTAGCAAAAAAAAACCCAGATTAGGACTATTTTAATGTATTTTGCTCTGTAATTGTAAAAATGAGAATATCATGATGCGGGGAACATACAGTAACACGTTTTATTCAGACTGTGCTGGATGGGACTAGATGAGCGAAGGAGGGGTTAGGGAAAAAAAAACCAGGGAGGGAGAGCCGTCAGAGAAGGTACAAGCAGAGTCGGGAAATGAACGTGAAACGGAATCTCTGGGGGAAAATATTTTAGTAAACAATTATTGAGGCTTTACCACCATTTATGACAACGTTGCTGGGGGTATATTTGTGCAGAGGTGTAGGAGGGAAATTGGTTTTAGGTGGTGTGGCTGTGGCCCTGGGAGTTTTTTTTTATTTTACTTTCGAATTGGCAAAGTTTTGGGGTGAAATTACTGCTTTTTATTGGTGAGCTTGAAATTCAAAAATAGTAATATTAAAGTAAAGTTCTGAGAAATTGACATGATTTTTCAATACTCCGAAAGGCATTTAAATGGATGCCACCAGCGAATTTTTTATGCAAATTATACCAGTTATGACCTTGTCCGATACTTTACTTTAAAATTACTGCTTTTCAACTTTCACGAGTCCCAGTTTTCCGGGGCCCGGCGCATCCGTTTGGTAAGCTGAGCTAGCGGTGTTTTTCACGGTGGGTCCCCCGACTTGCCCAGGGCGGTCGAAAAATCGGGGGTATGTATCGGCGGATAGACGGGGCAGAGGAGAGGGGAAGACTTTGCCTTCTCGGCACACGCCCTGGTGTCCAATTACCCCCGGGTCCCATAGCGGCCCGCTCAGGAAGTTTTCGGACGACGGCTGGCACCGATCAGACCACCGCCACAGGGGGTTGGAAAGGAGGGAAGCAAAAGACGATGGAACAGGAAAACAAAATACACCTTTATACGTGACTGGAAAGAGGAGAGGAATGTCTCTGGCACTTTTTTTAATTTTTACCTCATTTTAACTCTACATCCCTTAAATCGTTTCGGCAGGTTTAGGCATGTGCTACATGGGAACCTAACTATTCAGAGTTTTTAGGCAAAGAGAAACACAGCAGTAAGGCGCCCACGTAGTCCATTCCTTCAACCCTCATTCCTCACCCCTTTTTTGTAAAAGCACCAAGCTCCACGGTAGTGGGCCACACCAACAGTTATCTCGGCAGAAGAAAAAGTAAAGGTGATGAAATATAGAAGATCTATGGCAGATTGTCTAACAATACAGATGGCAAGAAAGCTTCACGAATTCGCGACGGCCGTCACGAACCCTTGTCGTTCCAGTATTCGCAGCCTGAATTTAAAGACTATGTTTGTTTTCCTATTTTTAATACCTCTTTTCCACTGCGTTTTTGTATCGTGCGAGCGCTGTTTTGTCTTGTTCCGCATTGACTTGTTCGGATAATGTGTGGAACATCATGTAGGCGGTTTGATATCTAAAGTAAAATATTTGTTTGGGCGGAAATTGAAGGCTTTCTAGGAGTATCCGGGAATAAACAACCTACCTTCGACTACATAGATGCGGATTTCCAAAAAGCTCATCAAGCGCCGCTTCTTGGCATAATTGCATGGCATGCCGATACATTATCCTCTCTGCGGAAACAACCGCCATCGCTGGATCGGCGCCGGGGACTCCAAGAGACGCCAATTCTTGAGATCGGACCTGTAATGTAAAGTATATTAGTAATTATATAAATCTATTTACGAGGAGTTTGCCTCTTTTCCTTTAAAATAACCTACCAAACACTGATGATATTTGTCATTCAGCAAGTTCAACACGTTTTGCACAGCTGGGGATGGATGTAGCGTTCGGGTAGCCACATTTCTAAAGAATATTGAATTTTGATTCACCACCGATTTTTGTACGCACCTCTGTGCCAACAACAATGCTGAGCTGAGCATATGTAGCGCCCTAACATACAAAACAAGCTGCTCGGCACGTCGATATGCTGTCCCCCGTTCGCCTTGCTCCACCTTTAAAGAAAATTGAAATATATTGATTTTTGGAGTAGAACATACCTTATTTGTGTGGATATTGGCTAGGGGGCTATCCTTGGCCTCTGCCACTTCAATGAGCGTTTCCACGAGTTCCAGGACGTATTTCAGCTTGCTCAGGACCTAAAATAATATTGGGAATTCGGCCGGCATACAACGATTAACAATGATTAGTTTCTTCCTAGACCTACCTGTTTGTGTTCCTCCTTCATGACCGTCTCTTGCTCCAACGCCGGAGGAGGAGCATCTCCTGATTCTTCATAATCGACTGGCGCGAATGGATTCTAAAAACATTTTAATCATTAATCACTACCATATTCGTGAAACGTAAAAAAAAGCCGCTTACGTTTTGACGAGGAACTGATGGTGGCGCGGCAGCCATACTAGAAGAAGTTGTATCATCTCCTGATGTCGAATCCGTCATCTTTGAGCTGCCTGCAAAGGAGGCTTGATGCAAATTAACAATAACCCACTATTTTCCTCCCGTGGCGATTCATTGACGGCGCCTCCAAATGGTAGTGAGATGTGCTCGTGTGGGGCATCTTCATCATCACTGATGTCGCTAAAACTGAAAATTCAAACCTTATCCGATTCTATTTAATATTAAGCAAGTATCAGTGTCCGGCTAAAAATGTATACAAGTGTTTTTCAAATCCATACCTCTGTGCCGCCGGCGGTGATGCATTGACGGTAAGTTCGGCCCGCTGCTTTGGTGTGGATACACTGAGATATTTCACATTGTCGAGCGGCTCAACACCTTGAGGTGGCTTGAATGGTAGCTATAATGGATAAATCACTTTATATCAATTTATATTACCCTCTCCAGTTCGTTTCCGTTGCTTGCCTGCCTCCTCAATGCAGACGACGTTGCTGATTTTGGCAGGATTTCCACTTGACCAGGCAATGAGGGGATTGCCTAAAAGTCTCGATATTTTCAAGTTTTTAACGAGCATTAAATAAAGTTCTGGAACGTACAGGTTCTTCTCGAACGACCGTCGGCCGCCGTAACCTTGACTCTCCAGCAGCACTCCTTCTTGTTGCCGAGCCCCGGATAATGTAATTTGCTAGAGAGTAATTCCATAAAATTTTGCCATTTTTCTCTTACTCTCTGGCAATGTGATCCCCTCAATGGATGGCCTGGGATGATAATCACCAACAGCTGATGTCCCCGCCGTGCTTGCCAACGGGTTTTCCTGAAAGCAAATACATCTATCATTTTTTGCATTGGTCGACCCACGTGATTATTGGCACGCCCTCTTCCTTTTTCCTCGAATCTTGCGTAGTTTTGTCGTTGACTGGGGACTGGGACTGGTTTGTTTGCACCGGACGAATGATCGGTGTGGACTTGCACCTGGAAGTTACCGGGGGTTGTTGTATCAAATTCGTCTTTTTTACCTGCTTGACTGGATTCGATTCTTTCAAAGGTGGTAGGAAGGTGAAATCAGACGTGCTATCGTTCAACGGCTTCTTGACAGCACTTGGACTGTCTCGGGATTCTCTTGGTGCTGTTTTCCTTGGAACCGGTAATGCTGTAGATGGAGCTGGGACTCTTCGGGCAGCGATTGGAGACTGGGTGTCCAATAATCGTTTTGACGGGGAGATGATCGGGATTGGTGTATGCAAGAAGTCATGCTTGAAGAAGTCGTTGAACGATATCCTGTCGCGGGCATTTCGCTTGAGAAGTTTGAGGAGGAGATCATTAAGCTGTGGTGAGCACCATCCGGGGATGCTCGGCCGGAGTACCGAGTTCTTCTCGTAGAACATTTTGAGTTGCGGAGGGGTTGAGGCGTGGAACGGGGCTTTTCCGGTGAGGCATTGGAAGAGGATTGTTCCGACGGACCAGAGATCAGCTTTTGCGTCGTAGTTAAGTGACATGATCACCTGAAATGAAAGATTTTGAGGTGTGGATAATTTCCTGTAATTTAGCATAAATACTAATAGAACGAATGCAGTACCTCTGGTGCCATATACATTGGTGAACCGCACAACGTTGCCGCCATCACACCATCATTCAAGAAACGGGCAAAACCGAAATCGGCCTGCAAATTGAAATGTTATAGTTTTCTTATAATAGACTACCAATTTAATGACCAGTTCGTGGAATGGTGGATTGACCCGTTTGCTCGGATTACACAACAGAATATTCTGAGGTTTCAGATCTCGATGCATAATCCCCTTCTCGTTGATAGCTTTCAACGCCCGGGCTGAAAAATAATGATTAAGCCAGTCAGATCGGTTTTCTAACTTACCGATGTGAATGACAAGATGTTGAATACTGTCCTCCTTCATCGTCGTCTTCTGTTGCAGATAGTCATGCAGATCACCGCCATCACAGAATTCAAGCACCAGATACACGTGGGTGTTCGTCTCCGTGCATTTCAGTAGCGAGACCAGGTTTTCGTGCCTTAGACTACTCAGCTCCTAAAAATGCGCGATGTTGCTTTGATTGGGTAAATAAATTTCTGCAGTGGAATTAAAATCACAACCAACTTTTAAAATTCTGATCTCCTTCTGCAATAGGTTCTTCGATTTTTGGATGTTCTTGCGAGCGATGGCTTTTATGGCGAGTGGCTCGTGAGGTCGCTAGAAAAGGCAAGCATATTTTTTTGTTGACGTATATTTACCGCTCGATGACGTCCCTTATAGACAATGGCAAAGGCGCCATGCCCGAGCATGTCGGATGTGTTATACTCGAACTCATCGAATCGTTCCATGGCGTCAATTCGCCAAGGGGCATTCGATAGTCCTGAAACGTACATAAAAATATTTTACTTGTATTCCTTTAGAGAGAGCATAGAAAAATGGACATAATAATTATTTAAATAAAAAGTAAAGTATGGTAAATTAAGGAGATCTTGAATTCCCAGACTTCAAACTATTTGTTAATTTCTACAAAGGTAGTACCTGCCATCCGGCGTCGATGTGCCAACATCATTAAATTTGTTTCACTTTTCCCCCGACCAATTTGGAGAGAAAATGGGAGGGCCGCTTGCTCAAAAACAGCTAGCTGATCGAGCAGATGTGCACAATGCCAGATGCGTGAGCCTAGTGTGCATAACTCTTCCCCCCCCCAATCTGTCACAACTTTTGGAAAAACAACAGCCACACATTCGCCAAATATCTGGGGGGGGGACTAAAAACGACAAAATGTGTGTTGGAGGGCCCTAGGGAACGGCGGGTGGGCCCTGGTGGGGCCTTTCTAGGGGAAATGCCCTCCTTTTTTCGGGCTTATGCCATGGCCGGCCGGTCATAAATCAAGGTGGGCCCGCGTCAGCCCTGATTGCTATTGGCTTCAGGGTTTCGTGAAGCATGACGCTGTTTTTCTATCAAAAATATGAAAAAGATTACAATCGCTGGATCTATACGTTCGAACAGAAAAATACAAGTCGATAATGTTCAGCCATCATTCATTCCCTGCCAGGCTGGCGAGGGCTATTTGTTCATTTTTTAATCTCCCCATCCCCGCTGACATCCACGTATTCCTAATTACGAAACGATACCCATTTGCGTCAGTGTGACCCGACGGCGGGTGGCCAGATAGAGATGTCAGAGACTATCGATCGCCAATGTTAGTGTGCAAAACAATTCCTAAAGTTAATTACATGCAGAAAAATAAACTAGATATAACGGGGCAACTCGAAAATTTTTGGCGACCTCCCCCCGGTCGCCACTTTCAAAACATTCGAAAATCGCTACTATAACAGCGCCGCAGGCGAAAAAACTAAGAAAAAAACGTTCGTAACGCTCAAATTCACGTGAAACCATCTCAGAAGGTCTCAGCAAAATTTGCATGCGAAAACTTCATTAGCATAGAAAAATAAACCAGGCCCTAAAAATAATAATCGATCGAAAAATTGGATATGAATATAATTAAGACGAATCTCTCAATCGCCTATGCCTAAATCCAACTGCTGAAAAATTCTAGATAACACCCGATTTTTGGCCCTAAACCATAAAGCAAAAATTGAGCGAGGATATTGTATAAAAGAGAAACCGCCCCCTACTGTTTTTAAAAATTTTCAATGCCGCAGAATTAGCTTCAGTTTTATTTTTGGGATCCTTTAAGCCAAGTTCTGGTCCTCAAATGCAGCAATGGGCTGTCTATTTCGATATATTTAAAACAGTTCAAGCAATACTAATCCTGAATTTTTCGCGTCAAAATCTGCGCTGTAATAACCGTCTCAACGGAGTAGGAATTAAGAAAGAATAGTTTTAATTGCTGTTTTGAGACAAATCCAGCGTGAGCTATTCGATAAATGCAGATAAGGAGCAAAAATTCCACAACGTAGTGTTCGGCCTAAGATCGCGAAGACCTAAGTGTAAAGGCCAATAAACAAGGATTCAGAACGGGACTAACGTGCGAGCCGCGATAGACAAACGTCGGTCTACCAATCCATTTAATTAACCGAAATGACGTGAGATAGTGGGCCCTATAAGGGGGCCCATGTGGGGCATCCGGGCCCTGGGGCTTCCGATGGGTCGGGGGTATCCGGTCTTGGGGCCCGAGCGAGAGGACTATGTGCCCTGAGGGCATGGGCCCCTTTTCCCCTCACCGGGGGAATGGCCCATCTCTACTGAGACCCTTAGACGAGATACACACCAATGTAGAGAGACCCCAGGGCAGTCAGCTGGCCCTGATCAATAGCACCCTCGATTCCCCCATCCCTCACTACCGTATTCACCCCGTCACCCCCAAGCCTTTCCCCGCAAGACCCAACACTCCATTTCCTGAAATATGCGTACCAGCCACGGCGAGAATTTGCTCGCCCAACTTGAATCTCGCAATAAAAATGGCTCGAACGGTGTTCAAAAATTTCTTGTAACCTATTTGGACCTTTACTTGGACCATTGGTCCTTTTTAACCATACTGTATACCTTAAATCCCTATGTAAATATTGACTTCCCCTTACATCATTTATCCTTCTAGATAAATAATACCGAATAGGGTTGTCGGAAACGTATCAGCCGCTTGTGCGCTCCGCTCCTGTGAGAATGTTGACAGCGCAATAATTTGCATAAGAAACCTGACTCAAAATAAGGTGTAAATTTATATGGGTTCTGACATTTTTGGCAGAATGATGAAATTTTGGCAAGGGTTAAAATTTCTAGCGGTTTTATTTATTTATTTTAATTAATAAAAATTCGTGCTTTTGCGATTCAAATTAGGTTCTTCTTGTATGCTAATTAGAGTTCTATTTTTATGCCATTTTCTTCAATTCCCACCGACAGTCGAAAAGGGAAGGGGAATTACGTTTCAAAAATTGGGAGCAGATGCTGTGGGTCGTATATTGGATGAGGGGTATATCTGCTGGTGGTCTAGACTAATTGCCAGAGGCAATTGATTCGCCCACAAATCGCATCGATATTCATATCGCCGCCAATAATTTATCGCCGGGTTTTTGGGAAGCATCATTATTTTTATGCTATGTGGCCAATCTCGGATTTCTCTCATCTATTAAGGATTTTCTTGAACTCTTGTTAAATTGATTGCAGAATTCTAACCCATAAATACTATGAAATATGCTAATCGTCTGACTTTTTTCCCAGGAATCGGCTTATTTGATTCGAATGATTTTCGATTCTTTCTCACGACGTACCGCTCAGAACTAGCTATTTTTTCAAAAGCACGAAAACTGATAATTTTCGTAAAACGAAAAAGAATAAATAAAAAAGGTTTATTATTGTTTCTAATAAATTCAGCTAATTGTAAGCTGACGTGCCCACTCCAGCGACTTTCGTCTTAAGAAACCGGTCAAATATCCCCTAGATACCGGCTATCACCGGTTCTACCCCAGCTTTCCTCCCTTATCAGCCCCTCTCCCCTTCCTTGGATACAGACACAGACTTGAGAAATTAACAACAGCCATCTATTATCCACGCAAACAACTTTTCCGGCTCTATTTTTACCTAATTTGAAGCAAAAATGCAATAACTTCCCAATCCCAAAATTTTCAGAAGACCCCGAAAGTAGGCTCTTCTCAACAGACAGCGAACTTAGGAAGCACAAGTCACAAAACAGTCTGTGACTTGTTTATGAATATGGGAGACAATTGGGAAGATTTGGGTGAGTTTTTGAGAGTGACTGATTTAAAACAGCGGCTAGCTTTTAATTGGCGATAATTTAGCGGGGAGTGATGAGGAGATGGTTGTTGTTGTCGAGGATAAGCCTCCAGTTCGGCTACCACGGTCGAGAACCACATCAGTAGCGAAGACACTGGAAAAGGATGCAATTATGGAGAAGCCAGTTGCTGGGTCAACAAAGGATGAAGACGTAAGGATACAATTTTAGTAAATTTTGAACCGATATACTGCACTGATAATTAACAAAAAAAAGTTGGGTATAATTTAAAAATCATAATAAAATATTGCAGAGCGGCGAATCTGATAACGACGACGATCTGAGCGACGGTCCGACTCATTCTGAAGTCGAATACGTTGAGGAGGAGCTGGTCGCCATTGATTACATGCTGGATAATCTGCAAGAGGTATTTACATATTAACACGTCTACGTTAATTTTAATTTTCAGGTGATCACAAAATTCCCGTGTGAGCACACGAACATCATCCCCGAATTCGCTGACGTCGAATTCTTCATGGTGTCCGTTGACTCGTTGATCATCGAGTGTTGTGCCCACTCATATCACAATTGGAACTTCTCCGGCCAGACGCGTGTCCTCAATGCTCAGGTTTGCCATGAGATCCGAATAAAATTTAAATGTTTCTAGGTTGACAACTTCCTCCACCAATTCACCAACCTTGGTGGCAAATTCAAGCTTGTGATTTTCTCACAGCTCGCCGCCCTCTTCAAAAAGGATACTACGTTGGGCTTTATCCGGAATGCAGTTGTTGGCCATTTGAGCCAAGGGCCCTACAAGAATGATATTGAGGTACAAAAATTCCCACACACAATTTTTTTATACATTATTTAGGTTTTTGAATCTCCGATCGATGGGCGATGGGCAAAATACATTGCTGACTTGACACCTTCCTTCTTCGTAAGTATAGCAAAAAAAATCATCACATATACCGAATCTAGATGGTGTCAACAAACGATCCTACAACAGCTTTCTGCTCAGAAGAAGATATGAACTTCAAATCGCGATTTGAGACGATAGGCACGTCCAGAAACTAAGTGACTCTTAATTATTCGTTTTTAGTGCTTGACGTGCTCGCCCGAACCATCCCAGTTGTTCCCTTGACAAATATTGTTGTCAATTTCTCGTCAGTGAGGGCCTACTACATCTCGCCAAAGCTTATTCAAGCTAGTAACCATGAGCAATACTTGGAAGCGCTCTGGGGACTTGATAGTGGAATTGTCAAGGCCGATACACAGCCGGCTACATACAAGAGTCTCTCGGAGCTGTGGGCGCATATTATCCGGGATGTGAGAACGTGAGTTTTTTTGAGAGAGACCAGAGGGATACACAGTGCATAAATATGGTGAGCATTTATTATAGGTCTCAGCAGCAATTGTCACCAAATTTCGATGCGTTGGCGTGTGCCATCCTGCTCTCAGCCGCTGTCACCCAAAAGAGGGGCTCAAATCGAGTATATCCAACTGAAAAGCCGGACGGGAAACGTGGTAGGTCATCTCAACCCCTTGGGATTTCCATGTTCTACGAATTGGAATATAAAATTTATTATTTCAGGAATTGATGTCATCCGTGATCGCCGCCATCTACTCAAAGCGGCTACAACTCTTGTTGAAAAGTTGAACTGGGCCAGTCTCAGCTTCCCGGTTGCCGAATTATGGGATGGACGAATGATTATGGCTCTATTTGATGCTATCAACGCTGGAGAAAGCGTAAGTTTTCTACCCCCGATCAGTACAATTTTACTCGTCAGGTGCTACCCTACCGTCTCCAAGATGAATTCGCAGCAGCCCATACACTAGCCGGTCTGGATAAGCCAATCCCTACCGATACCACCGACAAGCTTCTTGATGACCCCACCGAAGAGGTGGCAGAAGATTTGACCCTTCCCTGCTTGCACAACATTAAATCCGCGCTCTTCGATACCTATTTGGCGGATATCAAAGGAAAGGATAAGCCAGAGAAAGTCGATGCGCCGTTCTCAGAACACCTGAAACAGAAATACAACTGGAAATTCTCAGCGGTGCCTGAACAATGCCACGAGGAGACAGAAAAAGTCGAAGATCCGTACTTGAAGAAGCGTGCGAATCGAAGCCGGCAGTTTTTGTCAAGATGGTAGGTCCTAGGAAAATTTATTTCATCGACGTTATGAGGCTTTAGCGCATCAACGCAACCTCTATCCTTTTAGGTACGAACAGTTTGCTAATTCGCTTGAAGGAAGAGCGACCAACCTACTCGTTGATTTCTCACGTGCTCCAAGAGCAAACATCATGCTCCAAGAAGATGCAAAGGAGACCAAGGGATGGGCTGGACAGAAGAAGGGTGGTGGCGGAGGAAAGAAGGGAAAATCGAAGAAAGAAGAGATCCTGGAGGCTAACAAAGCCAATAAGGCCAACAAAGTGTTGGAGAATGAGAGACAGAAGATCAAGTTTGCCCTGCAACAGGGTAAGAATGCCGTAGCTGCTCTCGGAGGAATCTACTTCTCGCTCGAAACTCCGGAGATGAAGGCTACTTGCGACTATGAAATGTTGATCCGGCACTCCAGGTTTGTTAATTAATTCGGAGACAAAAATTTTGACAGAGATTGTTTCATTATAATTCTTCTATTTCAGAGATCTGCAAGACAAATTCGTTGGTGATGAACATTTGGATGATCGACGTCGCTTTGCCGTGGACCTTGTCGGCCTTCTGAAGAAAGCCATCAACCAACACTGGGAATTCATGGATGACAAGCAGAAGGACGATGTGGCCAACATCTGGTACTCACTCGGCTTCGAGCCATTCAGCCAGCGACGTGCCTCGACCGATGCCAAATCCCAAAAATTGACGCTAAAAATGAATCCCGTCTATTACCAGATGCGATATGGTGGAGAGCTGATTGACATTCAATCCGATCCTCAAAAGGATGAACGTGTCACGGGTTTCCACCCAGATTCCTGGCAACGTGACATGTTAAACGTTGTCGATAAGGGAAATTCGGCCCTTATTGTCGCCCCGACATCAGCCGGTAAAACCTTCATCTCGTACTACTGTATCGAGAAGATCCTGCGAGCTTCGGATGAAGACGTTGTTGTATACGTTTCGCCCTCGAAGGCTCTGACTAATCAGGTACGATCAATCAAGATCGGCTAAAACTGTATTTAGGTCTGCGGTTCCATCTATGCTCGTTTCCGAAATAAGTCGATGACGCCCGGAAAATCGCTTTTCGGAACCCTATGGAGCGATTACAACTTCAACGCACTGAATTGCCAGGTAGACATATCAAACTTTTGATGTAAATGTTTCTTGCTAGGTGCTTGTGACAGTTCCCGATGCTTTCGAAGATCTTCTGCTGTCGAAGGATGCCGTGACAAAACAATTCGTAAACAAGATCCGCTACGTCATTTTCGACGAAGTCCACTCGATCGGATCTTCTGATGATGCGGTCATTTGGGAGCACTTGATCCTATTGATCAACTGCCCGTTCCTTGCCCTTTCGGCTACTATCGGAAACGTGAATAAGCTTCACGAATGGATGTTCAAGCTGGAACAGGATAAGACGAACAAAGCGCGTGGAGTCTCGTTGATTGTTCATCAGGAACGATATTCTGAGCTCGAACTTGCCATTCAAGACATCGTCAAGGCAGGTGGTGCCGAAAAGAAAGAGGTTCGTATTTGGAGCATCGAGATTATCCGAGTTTATTTATATTTATGACACGAGATTCTAGGAGCTGATCCCGTTCATCCCATATGGTGTCTACATGCCAGAGAAGATTCGCATGTTCGGCATCCCCGAAGATCAACAACTTACTTCGCGGCAAATCCTCGAGCTTTGGGAGATCATGAGCCAATTTGACGAGCAGACGAAGAAAGCATACGAACCATGCTCTTTCTTCAAATATACACCAGATAAGCCTGTCTGGCTCTCGAGGAGTGATTTGAGAAAGCTGGAGAGCACCTTGAAAGACCGGTAAGTGACCTGGAGACTTTAAAACTTTTACAATAAGTCATGCAAAACTAATAAATTTTTTAGGTTCATGCATCTCCTGAAGAATGATGAGGCAACGATGCTGCAAATCTTGAAGGCATTCCAAAAACCGCTCGAAAAGCAGCTCGACGCGAGAGCCAAGGCCTATGATCAGGTTTTACAGATTTTACGAACTAAGCAACAACAATTCAGGAACATCTATTGAGTCAACACATCGTTAGCTTAATCGACAACCTTCAAGGCGATAAGATGCTTCCGGCTATTTGCTTCAACGAAGATCGATCAACATGCGAGAAATTGGCGCGACAGTAAGTTTTTGGGAGTGTTCCATCATGTCCCCCCATGTCCTACAATTCCAATCACATCTTCAATTTCTAATTGTAGACTTGCTGCTGTTCTGGAACAACGACAACTCGATTTCGAGATGAGTGCCGAATTCAAGGAAAAGTTTGAGATCAAGAATGAGGAAAAGCTGATGAAACTAGCCAAGCGCAAAAGGGATGCTGCTGAAAAGAAGAAGAAGGGAGACAAACCCGACGAGGAACCAGAACAAGAAGACTTCAATTTCGATCCGCTCGCGGCACAAAGAGCCAAGCTGAAGGATGCTCTTGCCAAGTGAGTTCAAATCCCACACAATTTATAGATAAACCAGGGTTGAAAAGCCGCTTCGCGACTTTTCAACCCTGGCCCCGTCTCAGACTCCATACTATTCTTCCCTTTGCATTTTGCATTTCATAATTGTCCTCCATTCAGAAAAAAAATGAAAAACAACCCTTTCTGCCTCTTATATAGGCGACGGCCCACTTCCGCTCGATGCTAATTATTCCTAACAAAGAGGTTTTTACAAAAACCTAAATTTAATAGCGAAAATGGCTAATTTTTAAAAATCTGATATGTGCGCAGTGATCCCTAGACCATTACGCACCTAATGACGTATCATACGTAGCCTAATACCCGTCTCTTCTTGAGATATCCTCCGGACAGACATCCGGAAGTGGATGCAAAGTGGCACACACACACACACACACAAAAACACTATTTTTTATATATAGTAGGATTTCTTTAGTAGATTAAAAAAACAATATATTCTAGGTTCCGTCTTCACGGGCGCACCATCAATGACACTGATGCCTATGAGAAAATGACGGAAAGGATGAAGCGTCAAGCCAAAGGGCGCGAGAGCACCAGGATCCTGCTGCAGCTCTTCGAACGCGGAATCGGATTCCATCACGATGCTCTTTCGATGGTTGAAAAGGGTGCTGTTGAAGTGTTGTTCCGAACTGGCCACCTTTCACTTCTCTTCTCCACGAGTACCCTCGCCCTTGGGTAAGTTTAAGATTCTTCTCCTGAGAAAAGAAGCGTAATGTAATATTATAATTACATTTCAAAAATAATTTTTAGTATCAACATGCCTTGTAAGACTATCATCTTCGGTATCGACGATCCGAAGTTGACTCCATTGCTCTACCGTCAGATGAGTGGTCGTGCTGGTCGGCGTGGCTTTGATCATTCCGGAAAAGTCATCTTCACCGCTATCCCCACTGGGTCAGTTTATAACTACCGTTGCTTCTATAATGCAACCATTACAGAAAGATGCGTCGGCTGCTGACCGGTTCTTTGCCAAATCTCCACCCCAATCCTCCATTCACCATTTCTTACCTTCTGCGGATATTCTCTCGACTTCATCAGGTCAACCCGCTTGAGGACGAGGGCTTCAACGAGTCCAAAGCTACCGTGCAGGCCAAGAGGCTCAAGGTCAGTGATTATCTGAATCCCTTAAACCCCTTAGTGGTTTAGTCGGCGACGAATGTACTTACAAACTCATTTGCCTTGATCACTCGAGACGGTGAGGATAAGGAGAACATGATGCGCCAACTCCGAGTGTATACTTGGTTCTCAGCCCAACTCCTCCGTCAAGAACAGCTGATTGACAACAAGGTGGGCAACCGTCGGTCTATCTTACAAAGAAATCCTAGGGTACTGGCCGCGGACTCTACCAACTCGTCAGTCTTCTGCAAGCCAGCGAACCTGGAAACTTGATCTTTGCCCACCTCATTCAAAACGATATCTTCCATCAACTCTGCCGCAAATACAAAGGCGAGGAGCTGAAGCTGAAAGTTCTGCACATCCTGGCGACCCTTTTCACTCGAGTCTACTTGCCGCCAGACTACAACACCGCACGAGGGGTATCGTGGAACCTTAATTAACTTCTACATGTTTTTAGGTTCATCTGCTTCCACTTTCTGATTCTGTGAAGAGCGAAGTCGACTCGTATGCTACCAGCGCCATGGGAATGTACGGAAAATACATGAGCTCCCTTGCGCCGAATGGAAACTTGATGGTAGGCAAAAGTCAGGACACAGATGAAATCAATTATATTATAGGACCCGGATTACGCTGTATCTGGCGCAACCTTCACCACCGAGCATCACTACAAAAGAGAGCTCGTCCCTGTCTTCAATAAGCGATACGCTTTCGATGAGAGCTTCCTCCCGGCTATTGATTTGGAGCCTGTGGATCATCGAGGCCACAGAGTGGGTTCATTATGGCGTCTGGAAATGAAATATTTTCAGCTCTACCTGAACTCGTACGCCCTCGACTTCTGGAAGAACGAATCGCGGAACCAACTCTTGATGTACAATAAAATCCCGGTTAACCGAGTATGGTATCTGCTTGAGGAGTTCAAGGTAGGCTTTCCTTTGAATTAGGCTAATTTGCATAGCTAAAAATCAAAATTATGTTATTGTTTCAGACTTCTCTCGCCATCATCGGCGACACCTTGCAACTTATCGCTCGCCCAGCAGATGTGGTTGCTGATTTAATGCTGGTGAGTCAAATAAAGCACAAGAACCTTTTATTAGTATAGCGTGAAATACCTAGAAAAACATGTGGAAGAATAACGTCATTATAATTAATTATAATAACATAAATTATGCCCTTTTTCAGAATCTCTCCCGTGAATATGACGACAAGTTCCGTCGCGTCTTCGGTATGAAGAAACGAACCTAAGTAACGATTTTAACCCTTTCACTGCCAATTCATTATCCATTGCGCGCGGTACCCTAGCATCCAATATTTATCAAAATAACGTCCCCCTTCAAGCGGTCTTCTTGTCCACTCTCTTTAAGTATTTCTCTTCGAACTCTATTCAACCAAAATTCACGGCTGCTTGAAGGTAGTCTTCCCAACTGCTGTGAAAGTTTTATCTGGTGATTTTGTGTCTGCATCGACCGGGTACCACCAATCCTAATCCCCTTCAGATTCCAGCACAATAGAACTTTCTAGTTGTTTTTTCAAATTATTGTTTCTGGGTACTTATCCGTTATTTTCCTATTTATCCCCCCGTTGCGAAGTTATCGTTTCACCATGAGGGTCTTGTTGTTGTGGTTATAAAGAATAAATTTTTCTCTCTTGTCGAAGATCAAAGCATCACAGAACCGGATAGATAGGCATATTGGGATAGGGAGCGATTGAGAAATGTGTTTTTTCCTATATATCCCACCATCAACAAATCGATTAGGCTCGAACAGTCGCGCGGATAGTGCTTAATTTTTTCGGCAGTGTTTCTGGAAGGAGAGGGGGCTGTGGTTGTGTTTGGGGAGGAGAAAGGGGGCAGATCCGGATAAGGCTTTGTCTTCGATTGATTGAACCATGCTCCTCTGCGTCGGGATCTGCCTCTTCGCTATTGTTTCAGGTTTGTTTCTTGAATATAATAAGATTGGAATTGAACTGTTGTTGATACAAAGGTAAATCCTTTTTTCCAGTGCCGGTTTAATAGTAAAATTCATCTAGCTTCCTGAATGCTAGCTAGCCCTTGCTGGACGGAAAACGTATTTGATGTTTTACTTTGCTTTCGTACCAAAATCTAAAAATTCTGTCTGAATATTGTGTTGTAAACGATAAAAAATCTATAATTTGACCTCTAAAAGGTCTTCCCAAACCGAACTAACAAAAGGCAAAAGTTTCGACCACGGAAGGATTCGAACCTTCAATCTTCTGCTCCGTAGGCAGACGCGTTATCCATTGCGCCACGCGGCCATGGGAGGTCTGTCGCGGAGAGGGCTCATAGGGGGTGTGCGCTGCCCCGGCACGAGACACTAGTCCCGCCAAAAAACCCGCCAAGACAGGGAAAGGCAGATGTCTTTTTGGCCAAAGTAACAACCGAGAAAAAGCCATGCGAGATGTAATTTTATAAAAAAATACCCTAGGAATAGATATATCCTGTTTTAGCCGACTATCTCGATGTGAATGGCTGCTTTTCTCAGCGGTCGGGGTTTGAGGTTTCAGTTCGGGTAAACCAAGTAAAGACGACCTCAGTGGTGGAAATGAAGGTACGGAAATGTTACTATTTGAAAATCTATATTTGAAGGATGAATGTCTGCGGTCATGCTTGAAGACGTTAATCGAGCCCGGCGCCAAGTGTCTTTCGATTTTGCATATGCCGAAAGACAATGTGAGCCGCTGAAGCGCTTTATGGACGACTAACTATATTTAAGTAAACCGAAAACCTTTAGGACTGTATCATTGCCGAGGCCGTTGGGCAAACGATTGGTAGAGTCAATACACCAGGCGTAATGCATCAGAATTACTATGAAAATGAGTGCGCTAAACTGCCAGGTATGTATGCCTTGGAAGTCGTGGAACCAAAGGTTAAAATTTTAGAAGGAGGGCATGTGGAGGCCCGGCTTCAAGGCTTCAGAGGGCCACAAGGTGTCCTTCAATTGGCACAGGTTTCGAATGACGGTTTTTTGGAGATAATGTTTTCTAGAAAAAAGGCAAAAATCCAAAAATTTTGGTGATCATGACCGGACTGGCTGCTGGGCGGGTATGTAATCAGTTGTACCAAAAAAATTATGGTTATTAGGACTACAATATTCACTATGCTCCTGAGCTCGAGCTGGATATGTGCAAACGCGTCAATAATGTTCATAACGCAAATATTGGAGAGAAATTGATCACGGTCGATGCCGATCCGAGCGGTATGGGTATTCAGGTGGGTTTTAGAGGGGTCGAAAAAAATTCTATAAGCAATACAAATACTTTTAAAATACGCTAAATTGCAGCCATGGACCGAGATCCCTTGGCATATCCTGGATGATGATGTTTTGGACAAAGTAAGACCTAAAATGTGGCTCGTTAAAAACGATTTACAGGTACTTGTGGTTTCCGAAAAAATCTCCGGCCTGGTGATCGATTGCGGAAAAATTGCGGTCCTTGGAGACAGGTTTGGCTCTTCATTTTAAGGTTATTTGCGCCTAGAAATGATTGGGAGGCGGCTCTAAACTCGGCACACCCTGCTTCTGCGATGGTGTACCTCGCGACAATTGTTACATTCTTTGTCGCTCTTCTTCGCTAATTAAAATAAAATTTATACATTTTTTTACAGAACATGCACATGTTTTGAAAACCTGAACGATTTGGTTTAGCGCCTTTGGTGATCGAGATTCTGGGCCATTCGCTTGCGGTTTTGGGTCAGGATCCCGGCGAAGCCATCACTAAAAAATTTTTGCTAATAGCTTTTTCCATAGCGTTAACGCTAAATATAGTTTTACTCATTTGCTAACTTACCCGTTCATATCGTTTTCATCATCATCATAGGAAAAACCTGCATTTGTGAAGCCGAGCTGTTCATGCGGTTGTGTGCTGAACTGGATTGGGGCTGTTTGTGGGGCAAATTGTGGCTAAAACGGTATATTCTGTTCAAAAGGTATTTGTTGGCTAATTACGTTTGGATACACATTAATTGGGCCGGGCCGCTGCTCCATTTGATATTGGTAATTGCCGGGTGGCCAATTTTGAGTCATCTAAAAATGAAGGTTCTGTTTCATTAGCGGGGAACTTATCAAGGGGGCTTCTTATTAGCTTATTTATTGGGCCTGACGTATATTCTATACAAAATAACCTATTTCATAGCGTTTCTATTAGTTACTAAATGTGGAATCCTTGCGAAAATTATGGTGTTATTTAAGAACTTTCAGAATTTTATGTTGTTTGACATTAAATAATAATAAATAATAATAAACTAATAAACAAAACCAATAAGAATAATCATAATAAACCAACGCGGTAATATGGTTGTTGCGGTTGATGGTAGAATTGGCTAAAATGGGCTCGTGGGTGTCCATTGGCGGTCATTGTAGTGTGAGTGCAGTAATCCGGCTGGAAAGTGAATATAACTCCATTTTCAGACTAAACACACCTGTGCTATTGGAATTGGAATATATGCAAAACTCTAAACAATTTTGTGATGTTAGATTATAGTATTCCTACTGGTGTATATTGCGCCATTTCCCGCGCACCGGTTTCGTGCAAAGACTGTGGGCTGAGCACCTAAATCCATTTTGGTTTCATAAATACCGCCTTAAACCCTACATTTAATGCTGGTGATGGTTGTGTTTGGGCATACATCAGCTTCATTTGTTGAGTATTTATCACCGACTGGGCATTTTGCTGTGACCTTACAAAGCTCATATTTTCTGCCAATGCAGAAGCGAGCGCATCCATCGGTGTTTCACTACAAAAATCAAAGATTCAAATATAAGCAAGGTCTTACAAAGGCCCCAATGCCGGATCGACCTCTCGATCTTCAAATGCCTCGATCTCATCGCGATCCTTATAAAGTGCCAGCTCATCTCCCATCTTCTCAACGGGGAAGATGAACATCTTGATGCCATTACCATGACCATCACCATTCACCTACAATTTTGTTAATGTCGCTGAGAAGCCGACCAAATCACCTTCATAATTTTGCTGAATTTTGCTGGATATCCTTGCATAAAGAATGCCTTCAATCCGATCACCATCTTGGCATCTTTCGTATCACAAATACCATTTGCACGTCGAGGATCCTTCGCATAATACCGAGGTAATTTTGAGATCTGGACACGGCCAAAAATTGGATCGGAGACGTTTGCTCTGAATCGCATAGAATTTCGAAAAATTTGCTGTGCTTACTTAGAGGCATCATCGTCCGGTAGACCGGAGTATTCAATGCATAGGCTTTCCAATTCAAATTCATCGATTCGCACAAGGAGCGTCGGCTCGGGCGCTCGTTTATTTTTCTCATCTGGATTTTGGCTGAAAATTGTGGTAATGATTTTACAAACCAATGCAGCCTACTTAAACTCCCTCATTCGAGCGGTCACCAATTGTGTGATTCCATACGCAGAGTCAGCGGGGCGCAGGTTGATGTAGCTAAAGATTGTTGTTCAAAACTCCCTCGAATTCTCTGACTTTTGGTTGAAGAGTTCGAGGGTCAAATTGGCTTCCTGGTGCAGCTCTTTCTTCGTGTCAGCAACGATTTCGGCAGCATTGAGAAGCCAATCACATGGATTAAATTCGACACGGGTAAACCTGGTTGCATTCCAGCTGACGTACTGGAATTGCAACATTTTTCAGTGATTAGCGCGTGTTCGAACTCACCCAACATCGATCATTGAAATCTTGCTGCGATATCAGGAAATTCTCACTCAAGTTGGCATAGCGAAGCCATTTCCCAATTGTTTGTAGGTAACTAGATAAAACAAGTAACAAGGTGTCAGTGTGCTACGCACGTATTAAGATCGGCCACCACGCCATCGGTGAGCACATGTCCGAAGACTTCCTGCTCCAGTACCTGGAGACGTTCACGTTGCTGAAAAATAATGAGATACTCAACATTTGATGGTTTGGATCACCTTTTGCCATGTATCAGAACGTTTTGGTGGCTCCGTTAGACCCGCCGCCGTCATAAAACGATTAAGCAACAGCATTCGGCGGAAGGAGCTGCAAAAAACCTGCTTTTCCACTTTTTACTTCGTCATACTACATGTAGTATGTCATTACACTCACCGTGTCTCCGAGTCGTCCATTTTCCGACAGTAAGTTTCACATTGTGCTGCAATCATTCCAACGATCCATGGTTGAACCTGTCCCCACTTGAGTCCCTTGTTATCGGGTTGAATATTGTTGGGCTGAAAAAATTCAAACCTCAATCCTACTATATATAAAATAATAGTTCCTGTGTGTGTGTGTATTTGAATGCAACTTCCGTCAGGGTGTCCGGAGGATATCTCAAGCGTGGAAGGGCGTTAGGCTACGTATGATACGTCATTAGGTGCGTAATGACCACGAGACGACTGCGCGCATATCTGATTTTGCAAATTATGCTATTTTCGACATCAAAATTGAGTTTTTGTTGAAAAATCCGGCAGCCTTCTTTGTTAGGGAATAATTAGCATACGCCCGAAGCGACGCAAGCCTATATATAACGCGAGAGAGTGCAATTTTTAATTTTTTTCTCAACCGAATTCGAGAGACGTATGCAGAATGAAAAAAACGGGGTTAGACGGGGCCAGGGTTGAAAAGTCGCGAAGCGGCTTTTCAACTCTGGTTTATAATAAATTTTACCTGATAGTAACTGGTCAATATTCCCCATGCAAATTTGATATAATGAGTTTTGGCATGGGTTGAGATGTTGCTCGTCAGTTCAAACGGCAGACTGATGATCCCAGGTCTCGTCAGGCAATCCGGATCGTCGCTACCGTTTTGGCCCTAAATCACATTTAGTGAGTCGTTAATAAACCTACCAAGTACAAATTTCCATACTGGGTAACAAGTTTGATCTCGGTGTATATTTGATACTTATTCATCCCACCCGTTTGCGGGCTAGCGAAGCTCTAAAAACCACCCCCTTGGGTTGAGCCTGGCCACCTACAGCAGTTTCCAATTGAATAGTGAAGTGCTTATAAGAATCCTCGGAACCAAACTGGCACCAGAGTTTCGAATCCAGGCTCTAAAACTCGCTGGTTAATCCCGAGTTCAATGACCGACCTCTGGATCAGGTCTGCATTTCAAGAAGACCGCATCCACGCCCTCTAAACTGTCACCTAAAAATTATATTCGGGTACGCATCGGGAAAGTTTACGATGATAGTCGGTTTCGTTGATACAAGCTTCTCGGCAGCGTTTCGTCGCTGGCTTATCCTCGCCTAATTGCTGAATTGAATTTTAGCCATCTAAAAAGCACCAAACGCTTACATTAATAAAAATTGCCCCTAGAAGCTTCTCCCTTTTCTGGTCATCCACGTAAACTTGGTGCGGACCCAACTAAAAACTTTCCAGATTGTTGCAAGCTCTCTGAAATCCGCCTTATTCAATACCTACTCACCCCGAGCGCAAAATAAGCTTCAGCACGGAAAACGTCCCTGCGGAAGCTCAGCCCGCCTTGTTCAGATTCGACAAGAGCGAGAAACCTAAAAAGACATGAAGGAAACGCTCACGATGGCTACCTTATTTGATAATTTGTGAATTTACGGCATGCCTTAGCACCTTTCTTTAGATAAAGAGGTTGACGATCCCAGTAATAAGTGCCGCTATCTGGCTTTGTCATTTCGATCGGCCATTCTTTCACCGCGGAACTGTAAAATTACAAATACACAGCGAAACGTTGGGTACACACTCTGCAATGATTCCCAAAATTAGTTTTTTGACGATTGGGTCCTTGTGCGACTCGTCACAGATTTGGATAGCGGCATTTAGAAGAATTGGGTATCTGAAGGTGTTCGACGAGGAAGGTTGATTTAAATTGGTACGAGACCAACCGTTCATAGACCTGCAGGATCTCCTTTCTCGCCGCCGACTCCCAAGGCGCATAGACATCGAAAGTCGTTGAATGGTTGATAAAGCTAGGCATGTAGTAAAGACGACCGAGGCTTTGCCGCTCTAAACTTCATTTTAAGAAAACGCGTTTCGAGGCTTACGTTCAATTTTTCTCTTCAGCAGGTAGAGGCTCCCTTTCAACGAGTTGACAATTTGAAAGCGTTCATTTGCTCTATTCAACGGAATTAGCACTGCGAGAACAGACTTACCCTAACTCTTGCCACACATGAAAATCATTTCTAGAAACTTGCGCAAGCAACTCCCAATTGTATTGAGTGACCTGCTCGTTTTCGAGCTGCATGTTGTATTGGTTCTACAATTTGCAAACGCCGATCTCCAGCTGCAAACTTAGCAACAAACCTGTGCGTAAGCCATCAAGTCAATTCTTGTTGTTGACCTCGGAAGGGATGAGCAACGGAAATGCCTTCCGCTTATCACCTCGCAATCCTGGACACACCCGCTGGTGACGCTAAGCCAACCCGTTATCGCAATTTAACATAAGAGCGTCCTAGGGCAGGTCGTAATGCCCCATGTTGATGTGGGCGCGATGGCAGGACTGCAGTAAAATCATTAGACAATCATGAGGAGCGATTCTAGGCCGCACGTGTAAATGCTCCCACTTGATGACTCAAAAGACTAAAATGCACTGTAAGAGACTAGGTTAAAAACAAAAAATTTATTAATACTTGAAAGGGTACCCGGTAATATAATCGCCCGTAAATGACTAGTGTTAATAAGTTTGAGCGTGAAAGCTGATCGCGAAGTGTGAGATCCGGGAAAATACAAAACAATCACAGAGAAACGAAAATGTTCGAAGGAAGAAGACTGTCGATGCGTCCTTCTCAGAAAATAGACGGGATGATCAATTGCGACGCAGTTTTCTAAAAAAAAGAATAATAAAGAATTTCGGTCATCGCACACTTATTCTGCACAAGTGGATCAGATGTGCATATTGCTCAAATAGGCGGAAAAACACATAAGAACTTACACTACATCAGCATTCTTCAATTCCCTTTTGAGGGTCCAAAATGAAGCACCAATAAACACCACGTTGTACATGAAGACCGTTGGAAAAGACGACAACCAGGCCAAAGTTCCGAAAGAGCCAAGTAGGTCGAAAGAGGTGACACCTAATTTAAAGTTTTGATAGGAAAAGACGCATACCCAAAATACATGTCGCTACTGGCAAAGCAGAAGAAAAGAAGACCAGTATTGAGCAATTAAAGATGACGCACGTCATAGATGTACCACACTGAAAGAGAAAATTACAAAGATCACGGGAAATTCCCTGAAAAAAAAAGATTGTGCGCACCTTCACTGGACGAATTGCCCGGCCGATCGACATTTGATAGAACCCGTGGAGAGCAACGACCATCAAGGCGCTGCAATTTAGGAGTACGATTTATGAAAAAAAAGTTACAAGATGATCACTGTTTCGAACATCGCGCCATATAAGCCGAACACCACCTTGCTCTTCGCCTAAAACTAGTCTTTGCCGAAATCATATCACCGGTTCAAACCTCGTTGACATAAACCTCATATCCTGGCAGAGCCCGAAAACCAGTCGCCATCTTCAAAACGTTGGAGCCGGCAAAAATGACGGTGATGAGCTGGAAAAATTAATTATAGTCAATAAGAACACATTACCAGCAGGCCAGTGAGGAGTCCCCGTTGCAACGTTGGCAAGTAGGAGCGTAGATAAAAGGTCACTACCGGATATCGTTGTGCGAACTTCTTCCAGAGCGGCAACTCGGGGTTTTGAGTGTCGCCATCTGGAAAGAAAAATCATAATCAAAAACAAATAGCAGCTACTTACTGCACACGGGATAATCAAAACCCTGTCGATTGCAAAGCAGCCACCGAGGGTTGTTGTCTTCCGCAGTTCCGTAAGACTCCCGGTGGGGCTTGACGTAGCCGTAGTTGCGGAAATAATTTTCCTCCTATAAATGCAGCGTAATAATCGAATGCCAAAAAAATACCTCGTTTCTTGCGGCAATAGTGCGGAACAAAGACGAATAGCCATACGGAATCGACGCCATGAAGGCCAAGGCACCTAGCAGAGACACGCAAGAGTAGAGGAATGGCAGGTCAACCTAGAAAAAGTTCTTTTCCAATTGGTTAAAGAACTCACGTAAATAATTGTGAAGACCGAAAAGATCTCAAAGATCGTCAAATCCGACGGTGCCGCAGAGAAATAGTAGAGTAGTTCGCACGAGCACAAAGCGATGACAATTAGCACAACAGATATCGCCATAGCTTCATACACGCGCCCAATCAGGCTCTAAAGCAGAGTTATGCGAGGTACACTTTAATGTACCGTATCCCGCCCGAGGCCATGGCTTTCCAGGAAAAAGTAGGAGAACGGCAGGAGGACGAAGAGAGATACATTCGACAGCGTGAAGACCCATTGCCAGAGAAAGGTGATCAGCGGCCAGTTGTACCATTGCAGATAGTAGTTTCCGGCGTGACTAAAATAAGTGATGTCTTAGAAAAATCGAGGATTTTGAGACCCTGCGAAACCGAAATGATCATTTTACATTAGGCATCGAAAGACATACCTAACCAGCAATTCGACGCCGAGAAGAGAGAAAGGCACCAGAATGATCGAGCAGAGGGAAATCGCCAACGAAAACGAACAAATCCATACCCTAAAACGAACGTATTGTTTCAAACGGATAACCCACGTGATCCGGTAAACGTAGAAATCATTCTTGCCAGCAAAGAGCTCATCGTCAACGTTCAACGTCTTGTAGTACCGTATGATCTTGTAGGAAATACCATAGAAGAACAAGAACAGCAGTAGGCTGACCTAAATAGCAAAATTAGACAAACGTTCATTAAAGAACCGCAAAATCCATTAAAAAAATACCCACCACTTTAACTCGAACATTGTCGGTAAACTCGGGATCAACCGGTTCTTCCTCGAAGGAAGGTCTGGGCAAAAACGGCGAGTTACGCGGGCTGCTGCTGCTGCTCAGAGGTTCTTTCGGCGACGTATCAAACATCTACTGACGGAATAGTGCGTGGTGATGGGTGTTGTCTGAAGAAACGCGTGTTGCCGTCTTGTTCAAAGTCTCCAGACTGTGGCGACACCTGAGAAAAGCTAACATTGTTGGGGAAGGAATATATGAAAATAGGTCATCTGAATCATAAAGCATAATAAGCCGAACCGAGTAGATTAAACGGTTGAAAGCAAAAAAGGTATATGAAGAGAATGCCTGGATCGCATGGGGATGCGACCGGAGCCATACGAACGGATGCAAAAAAGCTTTTCTTGTCTATATTCCTGGTCTATGGATCTCATCTATAGAACGGCTGGAGCAACAGAGCGCTAGAAGGTGTGGAAAGCTGCAAATCGAAGAAGTTCTTTATATCCGTGACAAAGCATTGGGTCAATGGAAGAGATGGACCAAGTTTGCAATATTGCGCTGCCAGTGCCACCCAAACCTAAGCAGAAATTGCTGAACCGAGGTTTTACAACTGCGAAAAGACGTGAAAATATATTTGAAACTCCAGCTGTTGAAAAGAAAATACGGACAGAGACGCGAGGATTTACGCTAGGTTTTTCCGGATAGAGAAATAGTGGGAAACGGAGGAGGGATCAGTCAGATAGCAGAGGCATCGAGAAGCGATACAGCCCCAGGTCGCCATATAGCGCACAAAGCATGAAGGTCGCGTCAGCTGTTTTTTGTCGCATACCAAAAGCTCTGCTGGCAGCAAGTAAATCGATCTGTCCTTGAGCCAACGAGAAAAGCGAGCCCCCGCTGGCTGATAAATTAATAAGCTAGTCATGTAACCGTTTTGTTTGATATTTATTACTTACAGACGAGTTGCAAATTTACAAGCAATTTATGGATGGGTACCAAAGAGCGTGGAGTTTCAATTTTTTGTCTAAAAACATTAAAAGTCGCTAAAACGCTTAGAAACTTCGTGGTTTGCGTGTAAGCCTGTTTTCAAGATAATCGGGGGGAAAATTGAGCGCAGTGAGACAACAATGACACTTTGCACGAACTTTTTCTCGAATTTTGTAGTAGTTTCAAAATGCGCCAGCCGAATGTCAGCCGAAACGACATATTTTTGAACCCATAATTGGAAGCTTTGTTGCCACCAGAACCCTGTCGGGAAGTTGGATGCAGCCTGAAAATTACCCGCTGGCGAGTTTGGAAGTTGAAAACAGAAAGGAAAAAGCCGGGGCATGGGGCTAATTGGTCAACTGGAAAGTAGAGAATCGAGAGACAAATCCGGAGTGCGACGCGTGGAAATGCTCTCAGCTGTCAACAAACCCGGGATGTTGACTTACAAAAACTTTGTGATCGGTCGGTTGTGAGGCTTACGTGATCTAAAACGTGTTGGTCAGTTTGGAAAGAATGATTTGGTACAGAAAAAATGGTAAATTGCTGAAAACAAAGAAGATTAAGGCTGAAGCCTTGTGAAACCAGCCTACACAGCATGGTCAAGTATGGAACAGCTGCAGGTGCTAATTGGTTTTCCAATGCATCGTGGAGTTGGCAGACAGGCTGAGAATTCAGTCGGGAAGGGCTGTCCAGTCAAAAGAAAATCGATTCTGACAGATTAATTTAATGGTCGAGAGGAAATTTCGGCCCCGTGATTACTTGTGCAATGTTTTCTCTAATCGGATGCGACCGGTTTGCTAGTAGAATTTAGGCATTCTGAAAAAACCCAGAGTTAAATCAAGTTTGATTTTGTATTTTTAAAGATCTGATTCTTGCCACACGCTTCCTGGAAATTGACAATTTTTACTTCTTATTGTTTTTTTAGTGTTTTGGCCTCAAAAGAGCCAAGCCGTCCCCCAGTATCCGCTACCGTTTTGGCCACAATCTGGGACCTAATTTGTCGCCGAAATTGGTTGGAATTTGTAGTCATTGTGTGCGATGACCCTATCTGTAGACAATTTCATTTCTCTAGTCGTTGCCGGATCATGATTGCTGATGTAACCCTGGTGCATCGGAAAGACGGATGCCAAAGGGGGCCGTCATTTCGTCGTCGTCGTCGTCGGGCCAGCAACGCATCTGGGTGTATTTCGTTGCAACCGTGGTTACTGTTTGTCCGGGTCCGTCCACTATTTCGTTGACATTGCCGCGCATCCATCGTGATTTTCGACGAAACCGCGGGATGTCTCGCGATATTTGGGGTCTACCATCTCCAATCTCTCGGCTATCAACCCGTCTAGAAATAGAGGCATGTGAATCGGTCCCCCCACGTGGAGTCAAGTCACGCCCACTTGGTGATCCGGGAATAATCTTGAGGATATTGTGGCGAGTCATTTGCTGAGCTATTGACGAACGTGTGCTATGGTAGGTCCTTATTTTGGTTCTGTTCTGTTAGCGGGGGGTTTACTAGGGGGAAATGTAACTTTTCTTTCTACCTCTGCGTACGTGTCGATAATATCTAATGTATTTTTATAGTGGTTTTAGTAGTTTTTGGTTGCTAGCAAGTTATAGGAAATTAGCTTTTTGTCCATTCTAATACATTTTAGGCCAAAAAGCCAAAAATGCTCAAAAAGTTTTGTATTTTCTATCTAAAACTATGTAAAGTGCTAAAAATATTTTATTTTACGTTATGGGCCGTACGGAATTATTGTGAATAATTTGGTCACCCTCTAACCCCCCGCGAACAGTCCAAAACCCTTGTTTAGACACCGATATTTTTCTTAAACTATGGAAAATTCTTTTCTTTCTCTCTCAAATTTGTCTTCAAATCGCGAATTAAATATTAATTTAAAGGGAAGATTAAGGCGAGGCGGGGAAATAGCATAGAATTCAGGTTCTGAATCTGAACGTCTGTTATGAAATCTTTGCCAAGCGGCAGTCGATTGTAAAATAACGGAATTCAGCCACACGATCGGCCTATCCTACACCAAATAAAAAGTAGAGCAGCATCGTTTCCAACCACCACAACCTGATTTCGTAAAAATTTTTAGACAACCTACGACAAAGGCGCAAAGCCAGACAACGGCCAATTCCTCGCGTTCGACCACGTCCGGTTCCAGGTCGGCAATGCAAAACAGGTCGGTGTTTTTTCTGGATTTCCTTGGAAAGGCCTGACTCTCGTGTCCCCCATCAATCACTTTCTCGTATCAACTGTTTTCGTAGTGATTGTTGAGATTTTTCGGAATCAATCGGTGAATGGAAAAATTGGTGGAACGCGCAAAAATAGCTCATGAGCAGACAAAAAGGAAGAAACAAAAAGCTGAATCTCGGTAAAGAAATCGGTATATTTAGGCGGCGATGTGGTACTGCACCCACTTCGGGTTCGAGCCGTTCGCTTACAAAGGCCTTGAAACGAACAGTCGTCATGTGGCGCAGCATGTCGTCAGACAAAATAAGGTGAATAATTGGGAGAAAGAACTTGGAGTTCCGTTCTTGTGGAATTTTGTCACTAGTTATGCTTTCATTTGGCAAATTGGATGTGAATCTAAATTCAGATTTCTTAAATTCAGCAATATAGCTTTGATACATTGAAAAACTACTGAGTTTCTTCAGATTATCTTCGTCTTCGAATCGGCGCTAACCCCTGGAAACCACGAGCTCGGAGATCATGTGATCCAACATGGTGATGGGGTCAAGGATGTAGCCTTTGAGGTGGAGTTTGATGATTTTTACAAGGGGTGGTTGTAAATCCATCACATTCTGATGGTATGATCATATTATCCTATCTAGTCCCACCGATGGCACGTATTTGAGATTGTAAGGAGATTTACGACCCTTCTAACATATCGGTGGCCGTATTCTATATTGTTAAAAGGGCTACAAACTAAAATATGATCTTCCCAGGCTCTTTGAATATATCAATCCCAGGTCGATGATGTCGAATGGGTGATCCGAACGGCAAAGAAAGCCGGAGCAAAGATTGTCCAGGACATCACGGAAGATAAGGATGAACATGGATCTGTAAAGTACGCATCTGTACAAACGGTAAGGGACTAGATAATGGATATTTGGGAGGTTGAAATATTAGCATAAACAACATAAAAATATTTTCAGTATGGCGACACGATCCATACCCTTCTGGAGCGGAAGAACTACAAAGGGCTCTTCCTGCCTGGGTTCAAGGAGCACACTGCCCCGAAGCACTTCTGGCAGTCGTTGCCCCGAGTTGGACTCAACTTTTTGGATCATTGTGTTGGCAACCAGCCGGATCTGGAGATGGAGTCAGCCGTGAAATGGTACGAAGATGTACTCACTTTCCATCGGTAGGCTTTTCCTTCCTAGTGCCTTTAACATAGTTGATTTTCAGATTCTGGTCTGTGGATGATTCAATGATCCACACAGAGTACTCTGCTCTTCGTTCCGTTGTCGTCACCAACTATGAAGAGACTATCAAGATGCCAATCAACGAGCCGGCTGAGGGCAAACGTGCCGTTTCGCAGATCCAGGTAACTTTACAGAGTTTATTTTTTACTTTGTGTTTAGGAATACGTCGACTATTATGGCGGAGCTGGTGTTCAGCATATTGCCCTCAACACCTCAGATATTATTACAGCAATCAGGGCGCTAAGGTAATTAGCTTAATTTGTATATAAAATACACAATAAAGGGCCCGCGGCCTGGAATTCCTCTCGATTCCCGATTCATACTACAACAACTTGAGGGAACGACTGAAGTCTTCCAGAACCAAGGTAAGTTCCAACTCCAGAAGGAGCTAAAATTTGCATATTTCTAGGTGACTGAGGATATGGACATTCTCCAGGAGCTGAAGATTTTAGTTGATTTTGATGAGAATGGATATCTGCTCCAGGTTTGCATTTTAGTAATCAAAAATACGCATCATATTTCCAGATTTTCGGAAAGCCATGCCAGGACAGGCCCACCTTCTTCGTCGAAATTATTCAACGAAAGAACCATCAGGTTACATAAATAACATAACAATTAAAAAATATATTTTAGGGTTTTGGTGCCGGCAACTTCAAGGCTCTTTTCGAGTCGATTGAACTGGAGCAGAACGAGCGCGGCAACCTGTTCTACAAAAATATCGAGGAGGGAGGCAAGAAATTGCCGGGAGGATGGGCTGGATAATATCTGCATCCAAAACAACCAAAACCATAGGCAACTTCGACTGATCCCACAACTTTCACATAATTTTTTTTGTTTTGCTTCAATGTACAAAATAAATTTATTTTATCGGCCTATTGATTACTATAGCATACAATTAATCGCTTGGCAGTATTTCACTTTCAAATATAAAAATATTGGATATTATTAAGCATAAATAATACAAACAATTTCATAGGACTAGTATTAACCAACTAAGGTGATGGATTATTAAGGTGAAAAGGGCCAAATGGGACCGGAAAGCGGAAGCAAGGCCGAGGATTCGATCTGAAAATGGATATTCGGATGTATCTAGTCTTTTTAAGTATTTACCTTTCAAGTTTTCGTGATAATTCTTGGTGATGAGTTCTTTGGTCGCAAGGAATGGGGGAATGACGGCTGGTGGACCCCAAAGTAGCGCAAAATGGTAGATCATCATCAATCCGTTGTATTGCATTGCGAATTGGTAGTATTTCACTAAAAAGTAAATCCATTAAGTTTACTAAAAATTTTTATGGTTTTTTTTAGTTCGGCGATGTTTTTTCTAAAGAAACGGGGCTACATTTAAATTTAAATTTAAATTTTAAATAATTTAATTTAGTTCCAAGATAATTTTAATCGAACTGGATGGACATGTTCAAAATAGACACGTCCCTTCCGTGATTCTACGCATATATAATCCCAGTCAATTTCCATGTAAGCTTTCCCAGTCGGGCGGACAGGCCGCATACACAACATCTGACTCATCGATTGGCCCCCGATATGGTGAAAAGCCCTTCTCGCCTCTCCGCCAATGCGAGCAGGTGGCCGAGTGGTTAAGGCGTTGGACTGCTAATCCAATGGGCTCTGCCCGCGTGAGTTCGAATCTCATCCTGCTCGAATATTTTGCTTTTTTCCAAATTTTCCTTTTGGACACCGAACTCACGGCAAGACGGCAGCTGCCCAGCAGTCGAAGGCACTTTCATGACAAAATCATGCAAAAATAGCGTTTGGATCCCGAACATGCTTGCTGAAAGTAAAAATCAATTTCTGTAGCTGTATCGAAATACTTCAAAAATAAATTTACCGGATAGCAGCAGTGCTTGTCGGATATTTGGCAACAAACAAACGATTGCTACTACGTAGATAAAAAGGTAGGAAGGCAATTTGAAAATAGCTCCGAACAGTGCGGCGTGTCGCTTTACTTTAAAGGTGGTACGCAGAACGGCCCTAAAAACCGAGAAGCCTTATAACTGTTCATAAAATTTACCATGCATTCTGCCATCGTTCCGCTGGCGGCATTACTGTAGAATAATTTCCAGCATCATAATATTCAATCACATTTTTCGACCCAAGGAATTGCCAATTACCGATTTTATTTTTGCTGGCTTGATCGCCCCAGCCTATGAGTTGAATATTTATACAGAGGGCAAATTTCACCTAACGATAATGACGCCGGTAAATTTCCATAAAATCGCAAATTGACCAAATTCAAGCGATCAAAGGAAAAGACACGGACGGTACATTCTTGGATGTCATCGGGGAAATCACTAAAATACATTTCATTTTTATTTTTGAACAAACGTGAAATCAAAGTCGCAAGTGACTTTCATGCTCATGGAAGGATAGACTTCTACCTAAATTACCAGGGTATGTCTGGTGTCAGGCAAAAAGACCTGAGCCGCATTCTCGCCTTTACTATTGATTAGCACATGAGCAATTTTCGAAATATCCCAGCTAGACGCAGCCCCTGAAGCACTGGACCGAAAAATTAACTTTGCGACTTTCTGGCCTACGAATTGTGTGCTCGAAGTTGCGGTGTCCAAATGGACCACTTTTTGGTGTTGAACTGCTTGACCCCGTTATATTTTAATGGATCCCAGCCAAGGAATTCGTCTCTCCATGTCTAAATTTACATAAAAATGGGATTTTCGAAAGAATATCGTACCATATATAAATGGCCATTAAAATTCATTGTTCCGACTTTTTCGTCAACGGTGGCATGAATTACGTGAAAATGAAGTTGAACCTAAAGGGAAAACAGGCAATACGCTCATTACATCATTTTATTTACGTCAATAGGAACGCTCTGATTCTTCACCGGCCGTCGATTGCGCTCATATTTCTGAAATTCGTAAGTGTTACTGGGCTAACCGACTAATCCAACCGCAAAAAGTTGGGTCTCTAGTCGGCTCAACTCTTCGCTATAGGTAGCGTTATACGTTTCTAAAAATTAGTTCAGAATAAAAAAATAGCTGCAGACTTTCAGCATCTGCTTCCATCTCTTCAGTGTCGGTTTCTTCACCAGCAAAGCCAGATGTATTGGAGAAAAATAAGCATAGTAAAATCCATTTAGGCATTTTCTGCAAGATCCTTATTGCAAAAGATTTAGTATGGAAAAGAATATAAATGATGTTTTGATTTAAAAGATCCTATAAAGCAATCCCCCTCTCAGCCTGGCGAAAATCAATCCCAAATGTATAGCTAACAATAAAAATCAATACCAAAGCAGCAATCGACTCGGCTTTTTGGAGTGCTGAACATCCAGTGGCATTGTTTAGACCGAAGCGGAATAAACGGTCTATGGATCAGATTGCAATTGGCCTTCCCGGAGAGTAGAGCGTCATCTCGGCATCCCAAAAGTTCAAACTCCAAGTGCAACTGCAGGAAATCCATAAATTAGTTTAAAAAAAATCTTTTCCAGGGTGTTGGGACCTCTAACCGATGCGAGCAAGCGAACAAACCATTCATTAGTTAGGGTTGTCAGCGGGCTCACAGCGGTCACCGGTCCCTCGATAGTGGTGTGTAAGTAAGGATTGATCTTTCGAAGGATGTAATCAAAAGAAGCCGGGCCAAAAAGAGCATCTTCGGCCAAAAAGCAAAAAGGATGCCCCGAACCGGGATCGAACCGGTGACCTTTAGATCTTCAGTCTAACGCTCTCCCAACTGAGCTATCGAGGCGGTGGGTGAAGAACGCGGGAGCCGCTCTATCAATTGTGCCGGATCCCCCCAACCAACCGACAAAATGACAGGCCGAAGTCGTGCACAGCAAAACGAAAAGGATCCATGAACAAATTTAGAACTAGAAAATAAGAATATTGTTTAGTTTTGTCAGTACACGAATACTTAGGTACTTCTGACCTGGCTAAAAGCTAGGAGCTGGAGGACCTATAGGCTGACAGCGTCATCTTGCCCACCCCCAGCTTTACCTAAAACCGGAACCACGCTGGATTTGGCAGTGTTTCCGCCGGCCTCCCCAAGAATTCGGCCTTTTCATGACCAACTGGCCCGTGAGATGGAAGTGTGGTTGCGCGCATATGTTGCATTTGTTCCGGTTTACAAGGTAGGTAATGACCAAAATCAAATGCCTTCTGAATGGGGGTTTAGAATGTGAAAAATGAGTATTGTAGAGTAGCAAGGAACTGTAAACGTACCCTGTAACTGAACGTTTTGCAAAGCGACACGTTTTATAGCTGTATCGATTTGTCAACGGCCACATTTCAAATCGCCACCGTCTTTGATTTGTTCGGTGGAAAAACATGCATTTTTTCCGATTGTTGTTAGCTATATAAACCATTTTTGTAACTTCAATTTCTGCGCCGACAATTTTTAAGTGCAGTTTTTCCCAAAAATTATTGCCTAGAAGTTTATTGCATCACATCCCCTAGATTCTTTGAAAATTCTGAATAAATTAGTCGGAACAACCAGTAAGAAAACGGGATATCACAGTGTAAAGGCAATCAAAATCACAGCACATTAATGACTACTTTACTTCCTAGCTTTCTCGTAGTTGACCACGAACCATTCGACGGATTTCTGAAAATTATATGTAAGATTTTTTTATTGCTTTCCTACCTGGATGGCTTCATCAAACGGAGTAAATTTGAAATCCGGAAGAAGCGAGCGAAGCTTTTTGATTGAAGCGGTTTTCTTGAATTGTCCATCAGCCTTCGTGGAATCCCAAATGACCTCGCCCTAATAGAAGAAATATTGCGTCTAAGGCACGAATCCCACCTGGAAATCAATAGCTTTCACAACGGCTTCAACAGCTTGTTTGATCGAAACTTCATCCTCTTCACCAACCGAAAAGATGATCGGCTCGGTGTCCTATAAATAGTATCTTTTTGAGCTTTGTTCTCGTCAGACTCACCTCATAATGTCGAACAGCCCAAATATAAAGCCTAGCAAGATCGTAGGAGTAGATGAATTGACGCAACGGAGTTCCAGAGCCGAAGCACTAGAAAAAGAAATTAGGTTATAGAAGCATCCGGTCAAATTACAGTAAGAGAAGTTCCATTTTGTTTGGCCAGATAGGCTTTATGGATGAGGGCGGGTAAGACATGAGCATCTTGCAGATGGTAATTATCGTGGGGTCCAAACACATTGCAGGGTACTACCGAAGTGTATCTAAAGTTTTTAATTTTCAATGTATGTTTTCTCATATATTCGTTAGTTTTCTTGACTTCACTAGCATTTTAAAGCTCACTTTCTTCCATGTTCAGCAGCATAACCGCGATTCAGCACATCAATCATTCTCTTTGCATATGCATATCCGTAGTTCGAATCGTGGGGAGGTCCAAGGTGAATCTCAAAAATCAAAAACTTAAAGTTGTTGTCCGATAACCTACCATTGTTTCATCAATCGGATAGGTTGTCTTATCCGGAAAAATACAAGTCGACAGCGTTGAGACGCACTTCTTAACGTCAAATTCGTGGGAGGCCGCCAAGACGTTGTCGTTTATCGCCTAAATTCCTGGTATAATGCGAAAGTTAAAAGTACATACCATGTTTTTCCTAAAGAAATCCAAATTGTGGGCCAAGTTATGGAAAAGGCCGCCGACCATGGCGGCCAGGTGGATCACATGGGTTGGCTTTTCCTTTTCGAACAGGGCTCTCGTCGCTTCTTTGTCGGTTAAATCGCAATCCTAAAATTATAATAAAATTTAGAGATCTGAAAATAATGTAAGAACATTAAATTTCAATTGAATAAGCTAACCTTGCTGCCAATAAAGACCCATTCTTCATTTTCACGTTTTTCAACCGTCGTGGAGAGCTGAAAAATGAAAATGTTGCTGTAAAAACACCAATAATTTGAATGTCAGCAAAATTACTTATCTATACCTCTTCAATGGCCTTTCCAATCATTCCCGTCCCTCCCGTCACCAGAATCTTCATTTTCTGATCGGCTTCAGCCATCTCTTCCGCTTCCACCGATAGTTGATTACCTTTAAAATCATATTAAATGGATTTGATCGAATTCCGTTGTACAAATAAACCAACTGACCCATTTTATAGGTTGAAAATAAAGGGTAGTAGCCTAAGATAGAAGGAAAGTGAGCGACTATGTCTGGATGGCTCGAGGGCTGGTGGTAGGATAAGAATCTCAACCAATGCCATGAAAAGCCCCCACGAAAACTCGGGGAGATCGGATCGTTGAAGTTCTGGTGCTTGGCGAATTATAGAGCTTTTACTTCTTTTTTTATTTCAGAATTACGCGGTTTTAATTAAAAATTTAATTAAAAGACGATTCAATTGAATAAATTGAAGTACAAACGGGAATTTTGCGGAAAAAATTGAGGAAAAGAAGAAAAGCTCATGAAAGATCCAGCTTCCAAAAAATAAATTTCAAAAACATTAGACGTGTTTCAACAAAGAAATGCCAACCCGGCAAATGCATAATTTTGAGAGACGCAGGGATTTGTGGGAAAGGGCCCAGAGAAGGGGAGAGACAGCTCGCATTTACGAGAGAGCAGATGGCGGGACTTGCCACGCACATTTGTTGGCACACACAGACGATATGATGCGGGCAATATGAACAATAATACCATTACGTCAACGTTTATGCGGAACAAAAAAATCAAAAGACATGATTTCCTCACCCCTGCACAACCTTGCGATCTGAACCAACAAAATGTATAATTTTTTTTAGATAGACAAAGTCCAGCGCTGAAGTCTATCGCCACGTGACAATTTCAATCAAAAATACCTATAAGAACATAACAATCATGCCCTATTCTGCAAAATCAACCATTTGGCCAAAAAGCAAAACATTCGAGCAGGGTGAGATTCGAACTCACGCGGGCAGAGCCCATTGGATTAGCAGTCCAACGCCTTAACCTCTCGGCCACCTGCTCACAGGACTTGGAGAGAGGAAGAGAGATTTGACCCCCCCCTCCCTACCCGGACACGCGTCTTTCTTGATGGTCTCACTGCAGCGATTCTGAATGGAATTTTGGGTTTACAAAATCAAGTAAGTTTTTTCGGCTGCTTTTATAGTATGACATTTCGTCGAATTTTTTGTGGTTTTCGTTATAGAAAAATGCAAGCTTTCAAACAAGGAGCCAATTAAGCGGGAGTTTTTGAGCTGGGACATGGCGTAAGAATTCGTAGCTGACCTACAGAGGTTTGGGAGCTAAAGAAATAGCAGTTAAAAAGTCTAATTGTAACTGTATTCTAATTGAAAGAATTATAATTGTAAGGGCTTCGAAAACGAAAATATGCTTTGAGAAGTCCCAAAGCTTTGCCTTTTGCGAGAAAAGCACTTTCTTTTACAAACAATACCATTTCCGGGTTTCCAATCCACATCTAGGGCGTTAGGAATTCTTCCACGTTTTCATTCTACCTTTCCAGAAATATGGTTCATCCCACGATCCTTTGGTAGAAGATGGCTGCTGTTGTTTGGTGGTGAGCGAGCGATCCGGCCCACTTGAGCCCATTTTGGGGCAAACATCTCCTTTCACCCGACATTCATACAGTCCCTCACGGCTTCATCCCCAATAAATTCGCCAAGTTTGCTTGCCGGAGTGGTTTTGTGTGAACAGCCAATATCACTCATTTATTGGAAAGCTGATGACAGTCTCGGGGCTGCGAAGGGGAAAGAGGACTTTCCAGGGCAACCCCACACCTGCCCGTTTAGCTCAGTGGTAGAGCGTCTGTCTCGTAAACAGAAGGTCCACGGTTCAATCCCGTGAGTGGGCATCACTTTTTGCGTTTTGCAACATGGCTTCAGGAAGGTTTTAGAAGACCGGCACAATAATTGGGAATCGACTAAATGACGCAAATCTTTTGCAACATGCCGAATTCAATCCAGCACAAGCCAGTTATTTGCAATTCAATCCACCAGGCACCTATTTGTGGGTGAGTTGTTAGATGGGGGTGAATAGGGATAGGTTGGCTGCCTGAGGGGTAAATGGACGCCATTTCTTCCGACAACTCCCTCCCACGAGGTCATTCCGCTTCAATGCGATGGCGACTAGCCTTACAGCTTGTGTAGATGGCGGGTAATTTTTGCTAGCCTGCCATAGTTATTCGAAAGTATTAAGGAACGGTAATTCTTTAAAATAAGGCTAATTTGGCTGTAAGCTTTTTAGTTTATGAATTTATTTTGCATGCTACATCAAGTTGCATATCGCAACAATTTTAGAGCTGCGCTTCAAAATCCTTAAATTGTGATTTTTGTAAAAAACCTTGCCCAATAGACTAGCATTCAACAATGCAATAATCCAACCAAACTACCGTGCCCAAAACCTACAAGTACACCTTACTACATACACACAGTTTCTCCCCGAGGAGTACACACCGAAACGAGTAATAGCTGTCGGTGTTCGGTCCGTTGAAATATCGAGGGCATCGGGGCTCGGGATGTGACCCTCGTTTCAGCATCTTTCCCTCCGGTCTGTCTGTCTTTCCCGCTGTGTGTCTGTTTGTCCGTCTGTCTATCCGGCACACTTCCACAACCTCACAATTCGCCCGTAAATCCCGCGGGCCGTCGAACAGCCCCCGTGCTGTCGTCAGATCGCTAAGATTTTGGTGAAAGCCCCCATCGACTACTGGTTTTAACAGACCTCACCGTGTTCGTTTGAATCTTAGACACATTTATGCTTGTTTTTGTCTTTGAACCGTACCAATTTACCTTTAGACTTGGGTTGAAGATCATACTTTCTCAGCTTGGTAATCAGCTTGAGGCCATTTCAAACCTATTGACGTAACCTAACCGTACCGCAACGTAACGTACCCAAATAGGCTAAATTCTAATTCAGTGTTTTCCAGATGAATTGAGTTGAGAACCGCCACGAAACGGGCTTTTTTTGACAAGGGTGCTTTTTCTGGACAAGCGTCTCTGAATTTCTTAATTTTTTTTCAATACTAACCGGTATTTAGATACCTTAACCCATTGAGCCTTCCAACTTCAGAATGGCGGTAGATCAATCAGAATGCTGCTGATGCGGGAAAGGGCTTGCGCAATGGGAGGCTGAGGGATCGACCTCCACTAGTGACAGGGCGACCTTGACTAATCCTGGCGAGATCACATCCACAACGGGACCTCAGATAGGGCAGCTATCTGGCTTTATTTTTATCTAACCTGGGCCTCATTTAAACGTAATTTGATTGCGTTTATCCAGGGTGCTTCTGAAACATACTCTTTCTAGCAGTCCGGAGGAGTGTCATGCTCTAACTTTCTCGCTGAATTAATTTTATATAACTCCACATATTCAAAGCCATAGCCAAAACCTCCAGAAAACTGGATGGCAGCTGATTTTGAAGTCTCGGAGGGTAGAGGTAGGAGGGTGGCGCGTGCGGGACCGGGTAGATCCATGAGTTGATCCGTGCCGCGGCACTTTCACTACGCTCCTCCCTCTCTTCTCTTCTCTTTTCTGTGCCCTGAGGCTACCCGCAAGAAAGTTACATACTATCCACCCTCCCGCACGTCAAGCTTTCCCCCTCTACCGCTCCCGAGACTGTGCCCCGTCGGCTCCCTTTTACTAATATTTTCGCTTTTGCGCTATTTACTCACTTTACTCACGCTCAAGTGCAATCAAACTTTGGAAATTTTTTGCGATAAATTTTATCGAACGATATCAAAGTTCTCTATTTCCTTTCTAATTCCTTTCACTTTAAAAAATTCTAAATGAAAAAGACCGCGTTTCCTTCTACTCGAGATAGCATTTTGTCGCTTTTTTCCATTTTCAGGTCAGCCCTGATCTGCATCGGCCTTCCTTATCCCTTTCAGCAAACCTCCAGAAGTTCAGCCGTTAAACTACCCCCCAGGCGGGTCATAACTTCTCCATTCCAATGCCCTCCGCCCCGATCAGTTCCCCAATTTACATCTCGAAATACCTTCAACCCGTCTAATTCCAGGTCTGCAGGCATATTGTCCGTATCCGGATGGATGCAGGTGCGGCTGAAGAACTCGTAAATCATCCCATTGCCACGGTCATTCTCGATGACCCTCTGAACATCGGTCTCTCTCTCTCTCTCTCTCTCTCTCTCTCTCTCTCTTCCCATTCCGAACACGTCTATCCACACCTCATTTCACCGTCTTCCCTCCCATTTCCTTAGCTGAACTCCCCGTCTGTCCCTCACACCGTTCTGAGTACATTCCTGGCCTCCTGGCGCCGAGATAATAGGCAGGCACCTTCCTCACCTAGGGGGGTAGAGAGCAGGGCCATGCCATTGTTGGCACACTGTGTGAAGGTGGGAACGTCGTGGGTAAAAAGGCGGAACCGTCCCCGCCTTTTTTAGCTTTCTATTATGGGGAAGACAACTGGATGGGTGACCTTAGGGTGGGGGGAGGACGGTTAGTGACTCATTTTGGTATGGTGTTTGGTATTACCTAAAGTCGTGCGTTCTGGTTTCTTACGGTATTTAGCTAGTATTAAGGTACACCTGCTCTAGCGGATTTTCAATAAATGGTTAACCAAGGAAACTCGGCACGTTACCTCGTTGTCGGCATGTAGGGAGTATATTCTTCACTTTCTAGTCCCTTGGAAAGACGGGCTCTTTTCGAAAAGTCATGATTTTGAAACCAACTAAACCAAACCAATTCCGGCTCTAATAAAACGATTCTAATTTTTTGAAAAAAGTGCTTTGTGGAAGCTGATTTTCTCAAATATTTATGGTACCAGCTAAGAAAATTTTCACTTCCTAATATCTTCAAAACTGCCACCTCCCTGCCCAACCAAATCCTAACCTATTGGTTGTCCACATAAAGCACTATTCCCCCCAAATGAATGGCTGCTCCTTCGAGACGAGAACCCCCCTCCTGCTTCTTTTCCTTCTTACAAGAGCCGGTGTCGGAATGTGGATGGGATTGCTTCGGAATGGTCAGCATATGGGAATGTCCAAGAAGTGAATGAGGGGAACAAATCCAGAAATCCCTTCTAGATCGTCGTCAACGATAACCCAGTGCCCCGTAA